GAAGGAGAACTTTTATCAATCAGTTCATTAGGCGACGGTTCCGGCCAGAGACTATAACGCCGTCAAATCAAAGACTTGACGGGCACCTTTCTCCAGCCCAATCTTACGGCCGTCCCAATCATCTGATCGAACGTGGCTTAGCATCCTCGGCACGAAATGCACCAAAGCTTGCGGCCGAAAAAACAAAGGAACAATCTCCGAAAAGATCCCATTTCCGTCGTCGTTGGCTGCAAGCGTTGATTGAATCGACCGAAGCGCAAACTTCGTGGTTCCATCTGTTTGCCTTCCAGTGGTTTCACGTACTGTTTAACTCTCTCTTCAAAGTGCTTTGCAACTTTCCCTCACGGTACTTGTTTGCTATCGGTCTCGCTGTCATATTTAGTCTTGGATGGAGTCTACCACCGACTTTAAGCTGCACTCTCAAGCAACCTGACTCTAGAATGCATCGGTTTGCATGAATCAGTCGTTCGTCTCTATGGGCCTAGCACCCGCTCTGGATGTCCCTGTCAAAGGAACTTGAAACATACGACAATTCATGATGCACCAACACATTAACGCCGCATCTCTTGAACGCCTAAACGTCAAGACTTGGCGCTGGACTTTTCCCCTTTCGCTCGCCGTTACTCAGGGAATCCCATTTGGTTTCTTTTCCTCCGCTTAGTTATATGCTTAAATTCAGCGGGTAGTCTCGCTTGATCTGAGGTCGAATATAGACAATTGAAATTTGAATATTGATCCATGATGGTAATCAAACATGGCACACATTCTGGGTTGTTTAGCTGGAAACGCTAAATACCCTTTCTAGTGATGAATGTGCTACAAAGCCATTAAAAAATCACCAAAGGAGTCAGCATTCGAAATGTTTAGAAATAATCTCACGACACCGAAATGAATCGCGACGATACAGATCTATTTCATTTTGGTTTGTCAAATTTCGATAACGACGCTCAGACAAACGAAGCCATCGGATATCCAATGGCTGCAATGTGCGTTCGAATGTCGAGTGATCAGAGTGTCCTGCATTTCACACCGATTAACGTAGCTAGCTACGTTCTTCCTCGACCAGCGAGCCGAGTGATCCACCACTGGCAGTAGTAATTTTTGCTTTCTTGCGATTCATTTGCAGAATCACAATTTAATTGTTTCAATGATACTGGCTCAATGTTGTTTTGAAATGAAAAAGAAAATGCCTTGTACCTGTGGCTCCAGCAATCGAATTATGCTCGAATCTGGTATTTAAACCTAGCGGCACTCATTACAAGCGACACACTACATCCACGTTTATCCCGAGGACAAACAGGAACCGTAGAATAGGCACCAACAGATAGCAAGGAGAATCGCCGACAAAGTTGTACATAGGCAAGTGTCAAGTTCCATTGCTTTATAGAAGTCTAACTAATGCTTTTTCCATGTCACCCAGATATAATAAAAGCCAAGTTTCAACTTCAGAACTTTCAATGACACCACCGATCGCAACACAAGTCAGTCGATCCGTTTGTGATAACGGGCAACACATCGTTCGAATTGAGAATCAAGTGTTTCATTGTTCAAACAAAAACACCGATAATGATCCTTCCGCAGGTTCACCTACGGAAACCTTGTTACGACTTTTACTTCCTCTAGATGTTCAAGTTTGGTCATCTTTCCGGCCGAACATGGCCACCACGAGGATGGCTACGTTGGCCTGTCCGAAGACCTCACTAAAACATCCAATCGGTAGTAGCGACGGGCGGTGTGTACAAAGGGCAGGGACGTAATCAACACAAGCTGATGACTTGTGCTTACTGGGAATTCCTCGTTCATGGACAACAATTACAATCCCCAATCCCAATCACGAAAAGTTTCACTCGGTTTCCCGCTTCTTTCGAAGTAGGTAGACACATGCACGCTGATTTTTTCAGTGTAGCGCGCGTGCGGCCCCGGACATCTAAGGGCATCACAGACCTGTTATTGCTCTTTTTCATACGGCTGAAACGCCGTTTGTCCCTCTAAGAAGCGTTCGAACAACACAACGGGTGTTCAACACTATTTAGTAGGCTAGAGTCTCGTTCGTTATCGGAATTAACCAGACAAATCGCTCCACCAACTAAGAACGGCCATGCACCACCACCCACTGAATCAAGAAAGAGCTCTTAATCTGTCAATCCTTCCAGTGTCCGGACCGGGTGAGTTTTCCCGTGTTGAGTCAAATTAAGCCGCAGGCTCCACTCCTGGTGGTGCCCTTCCGTCAATTCCTTTAAGTTTCAGCTTTGCAACCATACTTCCCCTGGAACCGAAAAACTTTGGTTTCCCGGAAGCCGCCAGCCGAGTCATACAATAAACTCTGGCTGATTGCTGGTTGGCATCGTTTATGGTTAGAACTAGGGCGGTATCTGATCGCCTTCGAACCTCTAACTTTCGTTCTTGATTAATGAAAACGTTCTTGACAAATGCTTTCGCTTTAGTTAGTCATGCGGCGGTCCAAGAATTTCACCTCTATCGCCGCAGTACTAATGTCCCCGTCCGTCCCTCTTAATCATTACCTCGATTCCGAAGACCAACAGAACAGAACCAAGGTCCTATTCCATTATTCCATGCAACAGTATTCAGGCGATTGATGCCTGCTTTGAGCACTCTAATTTTTTCAAAGTAAACGTATCGATCGCCCACGACACTCAATCAAGAATACCGTGGGACAATGCGATATTCTGCTCAGCATGACAGTAACCACCGTCAAGTGGACCACCATGCATGAGCTGAGATCCAACTACGAGCTTTTTAACCACAACAACTTTAATATACGCTATTGGAGCTGGAATTACCGCGGCTGCTGGCACCAGACTTGCCCTCCAATTGATCCTCGTTAAAGGATTTAAACTGTACTCATTCCAATTACGAGAACGCATAAGCGAAGCCCGTATTGTTATTTTTCGTCACTACCTCCTCGTTCTGAGAGTGGGTAATTTGCGCGCCTGCTGCCTTCCTTGGATGTGGTAGCCGTCTCTCAGGCTCCCTCTCCGGAATCGAACCCTGATTCCCCGTTACCCGTTACAACCATGGTAGGCACATAACCTACCATCGAAAGTTGATAAGGCAGACACTCGAAGGATATGCCGCCGGCACGAGGCCATGCGGTCAGCTGCAGTTATCCAGAGTCACCACCGTAAGGTGTTGCCACCTTTGGTCTTGGTCTAATAAATGCACTCCACCACGAGGATGAAGCTTTTCGGCATGTATTAGCTCTAGAATTACCACAGTTATCCATGTAATTGGTCAACATCCAATGAATCATAACTGATTTAATGAGCCATTCGCGGTTTCACCTTAATACGGTATGTACTTAGACATGCATGGCTTAATCTTTGAGACAAGCATATGACTACTGGCAGGATCAACCAGGTAGCAGCAAATGTTATAGACTTGCTTCATATTCAGGTAATTGTTGGTGACAATTAACCAGAATATTCAACTGTCAAACATTGCTTGTGTTGTTGCAATAACAACACGACATGACGATTGCTTCGCACATCACTGTTTAGGTGGAAAGCTTAGCATACATCGATCATGCCACAAATCGTACAAAGTACGATCAAAACCCGTAATCTTTCGATTTCAGGCATTTTCGTCGATCTTCTTCAGCTTGTTGCAATGAACGACTGGCTGTTCCACTATTTAATCCGTACATTTAAGCACGAAAAGCGAAAACAAGCCAAGTTCTGGATCCATCCAAAACGACCACGTAACCACGAATCCGATATGCGACCATTGAGCAGCTCCAAGTTGACGGGAATCTTCAGCAGTTGAGCATTTCAGTCCATGCCTTAAAGATTAAGGGGAGACCCAGAAATGCACGGCGCTGATTTGAGATCCAATACCATACACACTACATCCGAGTATGGATCAGAATCTCAAACGCCGAGACTTAAGCGAAAAACCGAAGCTTCTCGCTCAAGCCCTACGCATTGAAGCGCGTTAACCATTTGAATGTGAGAGACACCACGATTTCTCCGGTTAAGGGTACTACTGTGATAAGGCAAGCGTCAAAATGGAGAAAGCGCTTCGCCAAGCCGAAAACTCAAATTGCAACTGCAGCACTGACACAGCGCTAACAAGTTACAATCCTCGCTTGTATCAACTTTGTCAAATCGTCGATTTCTTTCGAACGATCGTCTCGCCACAAATATATCAAACCTTGACCACGATTCATAGTATAAGTAAAATAAGCATTGCATCAACTACGAAACACGGGATATTTAGTAGCAGTATATATTTATTCGTAAAAAAGTTGAGAGAAGTAGCAAAATCCAAAGATACACACATATAAAAGTAAAAAAAGGCAGGTTACAGTGATCCATTCGCGTAAGGATACATGAGTATTGTTACATTGTAGACATGCGCGTTTGTTTTCAAGTCAGGAAAATCCTTGCACAGTTTTACGTTCTTTTAACATGAATAAATTGCAGCAAAACTTTTCGGACACTTGAAGAACTTTGCCATTTTTCGAAATCCATCCATAGTAATCATTTTATTTTATTGCATTCAATGGTATTCTCAAACACTTTTCTGCATATTGAATTAGCTTTGAAAGTTTTTAGTTTTCAAACCAAGTTGTTCATGATTTAACCACCATTTACGAAACTTTATTAAATTATTATTCACGTCAACACTACCAATTCAAAGTGAATTAATTCAAAGTACAAAAATCAAAGATTGAAAACCAGGACCATTTGCTACTTGGTTGATAAATTTAATTTAGAAATTCAAAACAATGATGACCAAATTCACAATTTCTTAGCTCAATTTTTATTAATAAAATGAAACAAGCGCCATAATGAATTAGATTGTTTGCCATTTATTGACATGTATCGTGATGGCAATGTGTAGCAATTTCAACATTTCATCAAATATATCGAATCGAACATGACAATTATTTTGAATCAATGATAGCGCCACCTGAAAACGATTGTATGCAATTATATTTCATAATATGTGCTCATTGTGTGAATCATATGAGAATCAAATTCGAGTTTTCAAAAAATCATCATCAATTTTATTAATCAATTAAATTTGAAAAAAAATCAATTATTTAAATTGTTGGTGTATTGACAGAGATATCTTCATTAATCGTTTCAACATATTCATTTGGATTGGGAAATGAATCCATCGAAATATTCAATTCCAATTGACGTTTTTTCGTATGTGGTAGCTTAAAATGTCGAATACGTATGTGTGTAATCAGATTGGTTTTCTGTTCACAAGCATAACTACAATGGGGCCATTTACAACGGAAACGTTTAAAATTTAAATGTACACGAACATGATCTTTCAAGGAAGTATTGTCGAAAAACGATTTCTCACAATCAGGCCATGAACATTGATATGAACGAATATTCTGGTGTGATCGTAAATGTCTTGTGTAATATGTAATGGATATATAACGATCGCAACCATTGAATTCACATTTTTTACGCATATGTTTCGATTGTTTATGTGTCAATAGATCACCGCGATAAGAAGTGAAAAAATCACATCCATCATGATCACAACGATAATGACCAGTATCATGTACAAGATAGATATGTTTCGATATTGCTTTACGGTTTCGAAAGTTTTTATTACATGAATTACATGTCAAGTATTCTTTCAAATGTTCCATTTTCAGGTGTCGTTTCAATTCATTTCTGTAATAGGCAAATGATTGATTTTTTTTACACATTTACAAATACTCGTCATACTTACTCATTCCGGAAAATTATTGCACATTTTTCGTTTGAACATTGGAAAATATTGTGAGATTGTTTCAAATGTTTTTCCAGATCAAATACCGAATCAAATTGCTCAGTACAATTATTCTGCAAACATTTATGCCGTTGACCACTATGTACAATTTGTTCATGTTTGTTAACTTTATCCTTTGATGTACTACGATATCGACAGCCATATGAACAGATGTATTTCATTGCTAATCCGAATAAATCATCATCATCATCATTCAGTATGGTAGAGTTAAGATTTCTGCTATTTTCCTTTTTCTCTGAGTCCTGATAACATTTTTTCTTGCTTGTCACAGGTGCAGAATCAGTTTGTTTACGTTTTTGCGTTGTTCTTTGACGTTGTTGATTGATCTTTGAATTTAATCCAAGTTTTTGAACCAAATCAATATTGATCAATTCTTCATGTGAACCATAATACGATTCAGTTTGTCGAATCAATTCAACAATAAACTTGTCTGGTTGATTCATTTTATCATCATCGGTGGATGTGATTTCACGGAAAATTTTATCACAGTATTCGAGATTTGCTTTGAAATCATCATCTTTTAATTCTTGTAAAAAATTATCAATTTCATTGGCATAATGTTTCAAGAGATACAAAAACATATGACGATACTGTAACAGAACTCGAATCAGTCGGCAATTATCTTTGTTTAGAAAAATTTTTGCCATTTTTTTGACCAGAAAAAAAAATAAATGAATCAACAATAATTTTTGTTTACATTACATTCAATTAAATGTGATATATATCCATCCATTCATAAATAAAGTTATTATTATTATTATTCAATTTAAAATTTCTCAATAATTATGTCTTATTTTTGACTAAATAATAAATAGATAAGTATATAGATTGATCATGTGATAAATAGTTTTGTTTTGTCACAGAGAAAACTTGTCGTTGACAAACAAACGCCCAAAATTTTTTTTCCATTATAAATATGTAGATAGATAGATGTTATATATTAAAAAATCAATCATGATCATCATATCTATTATTAAATGTAACTGTCTTGTCAGGCTAATATATTTAATATATATACAGTTGTCAGTTTATGTGTGCATGTGTGTTTTCTTTACATTTCATCATTTTATTATCATCACAACAACAGTAAAATAAAAAATAAAAATGTACACACAACATAATCTGTAGTACCTGAAATCAATCTCTTCTCTTTCTCTTTATTTTGTTGTTAGTTCATTCATTCCCTCAAAAAAAAACCATAAAACTGCTTGGCCCAAGATCATGGATCATTTCCAAAAACATGCAACGCACACATCTTGAAACACACATACACACACGCACACACATTTATTGAAAATTACTACATTTGGAAAAAAAACAAGCAAAATAGAATGAAAAAATGAAGATTATCCATTTATGGAAAACAAAAATAATTATTACACTTGAAATTTCTCCACATCACATCAGCATCATTGTAGGGGATGAACAAAAAATGAAAAAATGCAGTTAAATCGTAGAAAGAAATACCATTTACCTACATTACCATTTCACTTATATAATTGTTGTTGTTGTTATTGCGATAATTAATTATTTGATGATAATAAACATACCAAAATGACGACAGACTTATGGATATATGCTTACCTGTGATGCGATTTGATAAATATCATCATCATCAATGTTAGTACTGATTTTGTTTGTTTGTTTGTTGTGTTTTTCTTTCTCATTTTCATCGAAAAAATATGGACCAACGGAACGAGTGAATTTTTTTTTTTTTTTTTATTACAACCATATCGACCAAAGAAAATGTACGTGTGTATGGTGATCAATTACTGAATGTTTATCATTAAAGTCAAAAGCAAAAAAATTCTTTACATTTTATGATTTTGATTAAATGACAGTATTATCATGATAAGAAAATTATCCATTCTTTGCCATCTTTTATCTATTTTATTAGTTGTGATTTTTGTGTGTGGTCACCATTGATACCATTGATCGGATGTAATCAATTTTTGTTGATTTTTTTCTTTTTCCTAAAAAAATCACCCTCAACACAGATCTAATTTCATGATCTTTTTTTTCTTCTGTGCACGTGAATGTGTAAAGAACTAAAAATTTTTTTTGTTGTTGTTGTTCTCATTCGAAGAATAATTGATTGATTGGTTGATAAAAAAAATGATTGTAACAAAATTATATGATGAACCACCTGTTGATTATAGTGATGATGATGAATTTGATGGCAAAGAATATGATGAAAATGATAATTTTGCATCATTTAAATCATCATCTACATTTGCTGAATCACAGTCGAAACAATTTTATTCAATACCAATCATTGATTTTAATCAATTACAAATTGGAAAATTAATTGGACGTGGTGGCTTTGGTCAAGTTCATCGTGGCATTTATCAAAATGAAATGGTTGCCATTAAAGAGCCAATTTACCATCAACAGAAATCAATGAACATGATTAATAAATCTTTGAAAGAAGAGGCACGTCTACAATTCTATTTGAATCATCCGAATATTATCAAAATTCATGGTCTATCAATGAATCAGAAAAAAATCTATCTAGTTATGGAATACGCTGCAGGAAAATCATTACGAGAATTGTTAACAAAACATAGCTTATCACCAGAAATAATTATCAATTTTGCCAAACAAATATCCAGTGCAATGGAATATCTGCATAATTTTAGGCCAAAACCAATCATTCATCGAGATCTTAAATCATCAAATAGTAAGCATTATTCGCAATTTTTCTCTTCTGTACTTACGTTATTTATTTAGTTTTACTTGATTTACCTATTGGCACCGGTGGATGGCTGGACAAACAGATAAAATTGACCGATTTAGGTTTAGCACGTGAATTTACCGATTCAGTGTCCATGATGACACCATGTGGTACATATGCATGGATGGCACCGGAATCAATAGCGCATTCGAAATTTTCCAAAGCTAGTGATGTTTGGAGGTTTGTGGTCATGATTGGTTTTCTAACAATTACAAAATATACAACTAATCCAAATCTAAATCCAAATAATTACATAGCTTTGGTGTTGTATTATGGGAACTATTGACGGCAGAAATACCATATAGAAATATTGCCGGTGCAGCCATTGCATTCGGCATTGGTAATCGTCAATTAACCTTACATATACCGAAAACATGTCCTGAAGAATTGAAAAATATTCTGCAAGGTGAAATTACTTTTTGCTTTCAACAATAAATAAATAATTCTTTTCCATTTGTATCCGATCAGAATGTTGGCAACAAGATCCTAAATTACGTCCAAGTTTCCAAAAGATTCGAAATGACCTTGAACAATCATCATTCAATGTAATCGATATGGAACAATTTAAGCAGATGAAAAAAAATTGGTTCGAAGAAATATGGAAAAGTTTAAAGGAAAAAGAAAAAGAATTAGAATCACGGGAGGAAAGGGCTAAATTAATGGAGAAAAAAATGAATGAAATTGAACGTACATTGAGGGAAAAATCCGAACGATTAAATCAACGTGAAATCGATGTTGTTGGTCGTGAATTGAAAGTAATCTTGCAACAGAATCAAAAAACACGGAATAAATCACGGCGAAAAAAAATTCGTACAGCTGCTGGAACACCGCCATCGATTAGTTATCCAAGAGATTTTTGCCACAATGTAACAGTGACAAAAACTAGTCATGAACATTCATTACAGCCAAGTTTACAGGCAAAAGCTTTGAATCAAACATGTAGGAAATTTTGTCAATTTCTTCTTTCAAAATTTAATCTGATTTGATTGTTATTGCTATAATCACAGGGACACCTGGAACAAAAACACGTCCTGAATTACATACCGGTCTTTTTGTGAATGTTTCTCGAGCTAGTTCAATGTCACAAGGTAATTTTTTATGAAGAAAAAAAATTCGTACTTATTTTCTGATGATTACCAGAACCAGACACGGATATTGAATGTAATCTTCAAATGGAACAGCAGCAGCAGCCATCAACATCAAAGAAATCGATAAAACGCAAAAAATTTGGTCAATTTTGGAGAAAATTATTCACCATATCTCGATCGAACGTCAACGATGAAGATGATAAACATTCGATATTGAAAGTAGTCAACAAGCAAGATGATCATGATTGTGAACGCTCATTATTTCATGTTCATGTTGAACACGGTGATTGTGATAAAGTATTGGATGTGAATTATCATCGCGATTTATTCTCAATCAATCGCACCTATCATGGTCTGACAAAATATTCACAGAGAATCCCTTTTTGGGAACAATTTATGACTAGAGCAGAAGCGCCAGCAACAATAGAACAAGGCGACCAGACCAGTTATGACTGGCAACATGACGAGTATGATGATGACGATGATGATGATGATGAAATTTCATTTGATTTCGAACAACAGAATGTCAGTCATATTCCTTTCATTCCTATCATGATGAATCATGATAGGAATCAAAATCAATTCAACAATTATTGCCATTATCACAATCAAATGCAAATGGCTAATAACAATGATGACAACGATGACGACGATGATCATGATTTAACAAATTATTCGCAACATGAAAACAGTAATGTTGGAACAATTTTCATCAATCATGATGGGCCACCAATAACACCATCACAACCAACAATAATAATGATGGAAACGGATAAAAAAATTGATGATGATTTACGTCAAGAATTGGATCAATTTGAACAAGAATTCCAATCAATGAGATTATGATTTTTTCTTTCAACAATAATGTGATATATTTATGAAGAGACAGTGACAAATGTTTTAAATGATAATCATCAATCAAAAGTTATTTATTTATTTACAAAAACAAATGATTGTTTTGCACAGGGCTACAATTGTTTCTCTCTTTTGCTCTGTCTGGTAAACTGAATTTAAATGTTTGTTTTTGTTGTTGTTGTGCAAATGTTTTAAATGATGGTGATGATAATAAAAAACAAAGTTAAGCATATCGTTCTCGGTTCAATATTTCAAGCCGTCAACGTTAGGTTATAAATCATACCATAAAGATAATAGAAGAATGACAATAAATAGAATGCCAACTTAGCCCAACCTTCTTTCGTTGCCCGGGATAATTGATCAGCATTCATTATGGTTGTTGGATCATAAAGACCCGGTGATGACATTACAGGACGATTCATGTATCTATGTTGTGGTTGTGTTTGTGCGAGTAAATAAAAATACAATTAAAATAGACTTGATCACGATTCATCATAAAGACAGAATAAACAAACCTATGGATATGATAGGCGATAAGTGGAGCATTAATTATCAAAGTAAGCCTGTTATTGACAATAAAATAAAAAAAATTGAAATGATTAACTTGTTCGATTATGTGATTCTTTTATGGATAAAAAAAAAATCTTCAATTACCATTCTCCACAGAATAGAAACAAAAAATTGAAAAAGAAATGTATTCCAAATTCTGGCAATATAAGCTATTGGAAAATGAGATTTTTCAATTATAATTTGGCGATTTTTATATCAATTTATAACATACCGGATTCAATGTATTGCATTGTGTGATGGGATTTTTGAAATCATTTTTCAATTCATCAAATGCAATAACCTGTTATTTGGATCAATCAATCAAATTTTGAATAAAATGATGATTTACGCAATAAAACTCACATGGAAGACGGAGAAAAAGATGAGAAAGGCATCCAAAATTAATGCCAATATATAGGTGAATGCAGTGAAACCAAAAGCCATTACTAGAGTTGTTGTTGTTGTTGTTGTTTATTAGACAATCATGAAATGGAATGAAAATAATAATAATAATAATAAAAACAACCAAAAGTTCAAATGCCAAATTGGAATCAATTGCCAAATTTGGTAACAGTAAAAAAAAACTGCTGTGTTAATCTGCAGGATAAAATGCATGGTAAAAATCAAACGACAACTCTGTTCATAAAGGACGATATCAAGAAAAATTAATCGCAAATTCGCGAATTTTACCAATTTGTTTGAAAATTATTTAATTTAATTTAATTTATTGTTTTGACACTCTTTATAGAATTGATATAATATAATTAACTAATTCATTTCATCATTTAATGGTTCATTCATTATGTGATTCATTATTATGAGATCGTGTAACTTGATTTTGAGTGAAAAGGTCTTCAATCTCCTGAAATGATTTGCCTTTGGTTTCAGGTAGATAAATAATATTGAATATAGCACATGATAGACATATGAATGAAAACATCAAGTATGTGAATTGGCTACCGACCGTTTCAACCAATTTATAATAGAATGTAATGATAATGAAAGCACAAAACCAATTAAATGATGAGACAATGATTGATGACAGTTTTTTCACATTAAACGGCAATATTTCACCCATTATCAACCACGGTATCGGACCAAGACCCAATGAAAATGAAATGATGAAAAACATTAACGATACGATTGGTATCCATCCATAATGAACATTTAAGTCATTACCATGATGTTTATCAACAATATAGTAATAGATGATCATTGGTATTAAACTTAGATGGCCGCCAATACTGGAAATAATCATTAGGAAACGTCTTCCGAATCTATTCAAGAAAAAAAAAATTAAATTAAATTTCATCACAGATTAAACAACAAAAAACATACTTATCGGATAGAAAACATGCCAATAGTGTGGCCAATACCTGAATGAAACCAACAATAATAGTCGAATCGGATGGTGAAATTGATTCAAAATTTGAACTTTCAAATATGGATGTCATGAAAAAAATCATTGCATTAACGCCGGAAAATTGTTGAAAAAACATCAACGCAATAGCAATATATAATGGTTTATAGTATTTAGATAATGAGAATAATCGAAATTGTTGTACGATTGATGCATTGCCATTGATGTAAACACCATCACCGATACCAGCAGCAGCAGCAGAAGCAATGCCATTTTCATTCGAATCTTGTGGAATCACGTAAGTTGCCGGTATGGTTATATCGACGGCCACACGTCGACTACCTTCAGCACCATGTAAAAACATATTTGCTTCAGTTGCTTCAGATATACGGCCTTTTTTCAATAACCATACTGGTGATTCGGGCATGAATAGTATGGTCAATAATAATAACAACGGAAAAGCGGTTAGAAATAACGCCAAATCAGACCAGATGAAATATTTTCCAATTATATAGGTGAGTACAATTCCTAGTGTGACCGTCAATTGAAAACCGGAACCAAAAAACCCACGCTTAGCTGGATCACATGTTTCACCAATATAAACAGGAACAGTCAACGATATTAGACCACAACAGAATCCGGTAATAAAACGACCAATCATTAATGTTGCCAAGGAATCGAAGTTTCCAGAATATGCAATGAGAATCCAGCCGGATACAAATGGTAATGTTGTAAATATTAATGTTCCTTTACGGCCAAATGATTCAGTGAAGAAACCAGCACAAATAGAGCCAATAATTGCACCAAATGGCATAAGACTAGCGAAAATTGAATCAGTAAAACTATTAAGATGAATATGAGATCCTTGCTGTTTAAAGCTAGCTAATGCAGGTGCAGAATAACCAAGTACAGTTCCCATTGAAAATGAACCAATCCATGCGCTTAGTGCGGCAAGAAAATATTTCGGATTTCGATGATGTTGATCTTCAATCAGCAATGTAGTATCAGCCATATTGTGTTGCTAAAATTATCACACAAAAAGATTATTAATTAAACACTGAAAATCAATAATCAATAATAAGTAATAATTACCGATGATGAGGAATTTCAATCGACAACAATAAAAAATATAATAAAACCACCACAAGATTTATGAATGATAGACTCTAAACACACACCAACAGAAACAAAAACAATGGGCATTTATTTTTTAATATTGGAATATTTTTTAAACAATACATTTGATCATATGATTATCAGTTATAATATTTTTATTGATGATATGGGGCAATGTACGCGATTTTTTTTTTTTTTTTTTTGGTGCTGGAAAAAAAATCAGATCAACTTAACAGGTCTGGATCATTATGCTCGATTATGTCATCCTTGGATGATTTTTCTCAAGATTTTGATTGTAAACATGTTTATTATTATTACGAGCTAAACTATTCACACTTTTCTTCGTCACAAATCAGATACATCGAACTGAAGCTGAAATGGCGTTTTCCTTTATTATTTTGTTCTCTTAACAATTGTTATTGTTGTCATCGTCGTCTGTTTATTGTTACCTCGTTGATTATTGGCGTCATCTATTGTTTGAAGTTTGAGTTTAAATATTAATATTTGAATTTAATAATAATAAATTTCTTTAAAGAGAAAAACAGGATTTTATCCAAATGACAATAATCACATATCGGTCATGTTGATCTAAATTTTTTTTCAAATCAAATGACAGAATTGTGATCAGTTGAAATGTCAATCACATTCAATTAATTTCAATTTAAAGAATTTTCATGTAAACAATCGATACCGGTAATTAAGAATTCGATATCATGATCACAGAGAAAAATAGCCTCCTCATTTGAGGGTGAGAAATGTAAAACGAAAGTAAGAATTCCATTTTCAAACTAACAGCAAAACTATCGATATAAAAGAATTCTTAAAACAATTTAATGATATGCCACTAGCATTAACTGAAATATTCCTGTAGTAGTAGTGGTGGTGGTGATTATCATTAACAATACGGAAATTTTTGAACAGACAGACAGACAGACCGACAAACGATATTTGAAAAATTGCCCAAAATGAATCACGCAAGCGCAATTCGCGAGATCTTGATGTAAAAAAAATGTTTATTGATAGATATCAAGATTCAGACTATTGAGTCAAAATTGTATTTGTATGTCGGCCGCTTTTTCTCTGCTTATTCATTCATTCGTTCATTTCTTAAGTTTATTATATTAAATTTTTATTTTCATTATTTTTTTCAAATTCCATTCTATTCATTTTTAATTGTCGTCCAGCAATCTAATTTTATAACCGATTAAATCTGATTTTTTGTTCTGTTCAACCGCTGTTGTTGCCGGTTTTGTTTGAGTTATGAATTTTTCTTGATCTGGATTGGACCGAAAACAAAATGACCGAAAAATATCGAAACACACCCAAAGGTTAGAAGATATAACAATAATAATTTTGTTTACGTTTTTTTTTTGAAACAACAAATTCTAACAAATAACAAACAATTTAACTATAGGTCGTATTGCGCCAAATGGTTATCGTTTATGTGATCCATTACCCGAAGGACAAATTTTACTTGATAATGAAAAAAAACAATGGGTTATCGGTTAGTAATTTTTTTTTGAAATATAATGCACTAATAATCATTATCGTTTGAATCAGGAAAACCCATTGGTCTTGGTGGATTCGGAGAAATCTATCAAATCCATCCGAAAGATTCTCCATCCAAACAATGTGTCATGAAATTGGACAATAGCAAAGGTCCATTATTTGTGGAAGTAAATTTTGTATTACGTGCTTGTCAAAAATCACAGATCCAGGCCTTTATGGAATCTCGTAATTTGTCGTTTCTAGGAATACCTCGTTTCATTGCTTCAGGAACCCATAATGGTAGTTATCGTTTCCTTATTATGGAGCATTTAGGTGAAGAATTACAAAAAGTTCTCGAAACTAGACGTTTAAGTGTAAAGACAACTTGCAGGATTGCCTGTAGAATAATGGGTAATTAATCAATGGAAATGACATTCATTAAGCTTAATTAATTATAATTTGTTTAGATGCACTTGAATATATTCATGATCAAGGCTATATACATGCCGATATTAAAGCGCAAAATATTTTACGTTCGTTAAAGACAACAACAACCGATAATGATGTAACGAATAAACGAAAAACTGGCAAACGAACAATGGAGGATTGGTCCGATATTGATGAAGATGACAATTATTATCTTATTGATTATGGCCTTGTTGAAAGATATACATTTCAAGGTTCACATAAACCATATGAACCAGATAAACGTAAAGCTAATAATGGTACATGTGAATTTCGTTCACGTGATGCACATATCGGTGTCATATCACGTCGTAGTGATATTGAATCGTTGGGTTATAATCTTATACTCTGGTTCTATGGCCGTCATCCTTGGGCTAACATACTTAAAGATGCAGAAAAGGTATTGGCTAAAAAAAATTGGGCCATGTCAAATATAGATGATTTTCTCAAAGAATCATTCAGTGGTAAAACATTTGTTAATGATGAAGAATCGAATGATTCGAAAGCCTCGAAAACGCCATCATCCAAATCAAAATCGAATGCCAAAAAAACATCAGCAGTAGCAGCTGTTCAACAACAACAGGCAAAGAATAACATTCCTATATCAACTGTTGTGCCAAAAGGATTTAAAAATTTTTTCGATGAAATCAATCAACTATCACATGATGATCGTCCTAATTATGAAAGATATAAAAATATTTTACAAGATATTGCCCGATTAAATCCAAAAACTGGCAATAATAATCTATCCAATGATAGTCCGAAGCGATCTCGAGCGGCACGATCGAATAATAAACAAGAAGGGCCTAAAAAATCAAACAATAAAACGACGAGTAATAAAAGCAAAATCTTGTACACTAATGACAATTCAGAATGTCCATCCAACACTGAAAGTGATGATACCGAAATTGAAGATGAAGTAATCGATACAAGGATAACATCATCAAGAACGACGAGAACGCAAACGACAAAAGCAAATCAAAAACTATCGCCAACAAAACGAACGATTAAAAAACAATTAAAAAATAAGAAAGTTTTACCAGAATCACCTCAGACACCGAAATCAGTGATGAATCCACGTAGAAATCTTCGAAACCGTAGGAATAATATTTTTGATATTAGTCATGATGATGATGAATTGGATTCTATTAATGAAACAAAAAAATCACCCACTAATTGTAATGGAATGAATACTCGAAATTTACCACGCTATTCGACGCCGTTAATATCATTCACCCCGTTTGATGGTGATGATCCATTATTTGGTCCATTCGAACCGGAAGAAAGCCTTAACTATGTCACTAATAATGGCAACAAAAGAAATCAAACGCTCAGATCCACACCCATTATAAATGGTAAAATAAAACTTGGATCGAAAAATATGAATAGTATGAATAGTATTGTCAATGATGAAAATGAAACCGATAATACTAATAATAACAATACTAATAGAAGAGTCAATCAATGTCGAATCTATATCAATAATCAACGGTGTCGTTCACGGAAATCATATGATGATGATGATTGGAATCAAGCATATCAAATTGTGCCGGATAAACATAATACATCCAATGATAATGGTCCAATCATGAAAATAACCAATGGTAAATCATCCAAATCAACTATAACAATGACATCAACAACGACAACGACAACGACAACTGCCTCATCAAAACCAAATAATTGTAGTGCTAAACGTAATGTACAAAAATCGAATAATGTTTCATCAAAATTTGTTACACCAAATACCGATAGTGGTGTAACAGAAACGGCTGCAATGCAACGAATTCGATTAATGTTGCAGAATAAGAAGAAAAAATGATTGTCATTCAATTCAACTTTTTAAATCATTTCATCATTTACTATTATCAATCAATAAAATATACAAACAGAATTCGATATCATTGTATTTGTTTTTTTACATTTGTTTGTATTTGTATATTGAATGTGTTTTCTTTCGTGATGATCAACATGATGATAATGGAGATGGATGGATCAATCAATTTGTGATGCGAACCATTTTTAATGGAAATTTTTTTTCAATTTATGTCTTTTCTATTCACACACACACACACACACACACATAGACTTTTTATTATGATCAATGTGTTTTTTATTCATTAAAAGTGGTAAAAATTTTAAATTTTACAACAACAAACAAAATAAACAAAAAAAAATTCATTTTTTACAATAAACAATGGAATTTATGTACAACAACAACAACAACAACCACAACAGTGGATTTTGATCACATAAGTGTGAGAAAATCAAATCACATAATCAAAACATTGATATAGTTTTTTTTTATAGATTCAATGACTGATCATCATTCGTTGTAGCTACATGCGTTAAATTGATTAGTTTATCAAACCAAAATGGCATTTTACCGGTTACATTTACAGATGAGTTATTATTATTATTATTATTGTCAAACATTGGTGATGATGACGATGCAGCATCGAATGATTCAACTTTTTCTTGGAATCTTTCCACAATCCCAACTAATGAGAAATATGTACCAGTACATAATACCAATAGGCCAAATACTAGAATCGATGTATTCTTTATGATGAGCCATTTACGAGATAGACCACTTTTACGTTCAAAAAATGTAACCAAATGCAATACTGTTGGTATGATTATGGCAACCGATGTACAGGCAAATGCACCGATTAATTCGATGATTAGATCAAGTTCAGGTATGGAAGCGGCCAATACAACTAATACATTGAAGAGAAAATTCGATTCAGAACAATTTATAAATTGAATGATTAATTTTGAACTTTGCTATTCTAACAAAAACAACAACAACAACAACAACGATTACTCACATGTCAAAATAACTAATGACGAACGAAACATGTAATCAGACATGTTTACAATAAGTTCGGATTTTTTCCTTTCCATCAAATAATCACGTATGGTTGGCCACATTAAATGAATGGCAACATACATTTGTATCGGATATGAAAATGTGATGGAAAATGCATACATAAATTGTACGGCAATATATAATGGTTCATTTGGTAATGAAAATGTAATACTAGCACCAACATCTTCACCATATTTAAGATAACCTAAGAATCCTACAGATGAATATAATATTATGACAAATAATATGGCCATGTTAAGTACACCAAAAGGTTTAGCGAAATTTTCCCGTTTTTTCATTGAACGATATAATGGCATTGTCTGTTGTGTTATAATACAAGATTAAAATTGAAATTGAAATTGAAATTAAATTCATTCATTACACATCAATACATACCACTGTAATGCCTTCGAACGTAAATGCTGTTGTACTGACAAATTGTGGCAATTTATGATTGAATGGTTTACGATCACCAATATATGGAATATTTGTGACCAGATTATATAAAATGATCAATAAACTTGCCATTTGTACAACATTGGCGAATAATGATCCCAAAGATAGATGGTAAATACTTTTTATAAAATTCAATGCTATCATTATGGGTAATAATAAACATAGAAAATAGACGACATCATCTTCATGCCAAAAACCTATCTCCAAATTGATGGCAAATTGTAGTAGATTTTTCGCAATAAACAGTGCATATGCACAACAGAATCCGGTTTGTGATAGACAAAGACATATGGTCAATATTTTCCTAGACATTTGACCGTATTCTCGTAATTTTTTTGGTCCATTCTCGAATGATAATTGTGCTAGCTATTGTGATTTTGTTTTTTTTCAATAAATCAAAAAATAAAATTATTCAATTCAATTCTATACGTGATTGAATGATTCAACAAAAAAAATCAATCAATCAATCAATCATTTACCTCTTGATAATCATAGGGAATTTGTTCCGGTTTTGTAACCAATACTTGATTAATTTGAACGAGCATATGAATGCATAGATTACACAGAAAACCGATAAGAATGACACCAAGTACACCGAATATATAACCAGAATCAGCGAATGCTTTTGGCATTGATAATATACCAGTGCCGATATAACATTTAAGCAATGTCATCAATGCTTGCAATGTTGTTGTTTCACTCATAGATGGTCCGTGTGACATTTTCGAATGATTGCCAATTGTAATTGATGATGTGGAAAACCAAGAAAAAAGATATCTGAAAATGAACAAAAAAATCACAATACATCTTGACTGTTGGCAACAAGTGATATTTTTATCTGTCAATAGAATCAATTTACCAAAAGGAAACATTTTTTCTTATCATAATCATGAACAATTCGTTCGAATTACGTGGAAAAACAAAAAAAAAATTGTAAATCTGAGAATTTAATTGAACGACTACGCTAACAACTAGTACGGAAACGGAATAAGAAAGTAATTTATTCATTACTTACCACTGAAATAATCACAATATATGAAAGTTTCGTGTGTGTGGATGAATGAATTCTTTATTTTCAAAAAACAAGATTTTGATCAAATAACTTGATTTCTTCCAAAGCGATCTGATCAATTCAAATGAATGAATGTTAAGTGTTAAATATACGGTATATGACGAGATCATTTATAAATGTTTCTGGTCCATCAAATATTTGAATTTTAATCATAAATTATTATAATAAATTTTGTGCCACAAGATGACGATGATGATGATGATGATGGTTTCCAATGAAAAGAAGAAGAAGAAGAAAATTGCTATATGATGGTGGTGAGATAACGGTTTTACTAAATGTATCGGATGCCTTTTGTGTCACAAATATACACATACTTATCACACATACACACACATACAATGAAAACAATGTTATTGTTGATGAGATTTCTTTTTTTTTTCTTTTTTGTTTTATTTCATCGAATCCCCAAATGTGTTAAGTAGCAGTGGTACTTGATTGATGAGATGAAAAAATGATTTTTAGATAGAAACTATTTCTGTTCCACTAATCATTATGGACAAAAAAAACCAAAGAAAATTCTTTTCAATTGTGGAACAAATGATTGGAATTTAATTAAAAGAAATTCCCAAAATACACAGTACACACACCTGACATATAACCGCCTTATTGTGATTTGTAACACTTACCACCATCACAATAAATTGACAAAATACATCTCTCTCTCTCTCTCTCTCTCTCTCTCTCTTTTGATATAATAATTATAATCAATGGAAAATTTTTTCATTCAATTAGAATGAAAAAGTATGCCATGAAATTTTGTGTGCATAGATAAAATGGCAATATTTGAAAGAAAGAAACAATTTAGAGAGACAGAGTTTCAATTTGTGTGTTAGAGAGCAAAAGTGAGAGGACATTTTCTCTTCATCCATCCATCCATCCATCCATCCATTCATCCATCCATCCATGAATCAAGATCCAGAAAAACTCTTTTTTTCCACCACTGTTTCCTTCTTCTCAATCTCTCCTTTCCCCACTTGTGTGATAAAGTGAAGAATAACAACAACAACAACAACAAAAACGAAAAAAGTATGCTGACCTGCCAGTTTTAAAATTTGCCCTTTGAAAATGTTAAAAAGAAAAAGAAAAAATCTATTGGCAGATCCTTATCATTATTTTTTTTCTATTAAATTATATGAAATTTCTATCCCCTTCTCCTCCGGTCGATACAATCTCATCAAATTCGGTTGACCATATTATTCGATTTGAATAGAGCCATTCACACACATTGATTGTTTTTTTCACTTTTTTGTAATCAAAGAATATTTATCTCATAAAAAAAATTCCTTTATGATTTGATATTGATATTTTTTTCTCTGGAAAAAATCCAGGTCATTACGACATTGTTGTTTGTTTGTTTGTTTGTTTGTTTCATTGATAATTGCCATTATTGTTTTCTGAAATTAATTTAATCGATTAATTGTTGATTGATTGATTGGATAAATCATTGTTGTTAATGATGATATTGAAAACAAATTGAAAATCAATGTCAAGTGCATCAATCATTAATTGAATGGAAAATAATAAACAACATTGAGTGTTTTACATTGAATCTTTTGTTTCGAAAATTTAATCAGCATCAGCAATTCATTTAATGTAATTACCTATAATCTCATCATTGTTGCACACTTTGAAAAAAATAATCTAACAATAATTAGGCACAAATGTGCCTTGTATATACTATATTAGACAATTTACATGTTATTAGGTGTCTGTCACTATCATACACACACACACACACACACACACACACATCTATGGTTAATTAACAAAACATGTGAATAGTTTTTTTTATTATTCTTTCATTCCAAATGGCGTTATCATCCGTCCAACGAATGATACATCGAAATTAATTATAGTCCTATTAAGGTACATTCTTTTTTTATTATTGTTTTTTATTACAAATAAATTGAAAAACCATTCATCATCAAAATGGTTATTGATTTTTAATTAAAAATTACACTTGAAACCTGTGATTTGACAAGGAAAAATTAAATCGGTTGTTGCTGCAATCAAACAACAACAACAACAAAGAAAAAACATTCGACAATGACCTATAATTTATATATCTGTTTTGTTGTTGTTAAATGGATTTTTCTACAGATTTTCAGATAATTACCATGTTTTCCCCATCATTTTCCTTTCGATCGCCAGCCACCGCTCCACAATGTGATGATGCATCAATTTTATTATTTGGTTTTTCATTCAAATATTTGTATTGAAATTTTTCCACACAATATTGAAATGAATAACTGAAATATCACTAAAAACAGTCAGGTGATTGATCCATTTATTTTTAACGAGATTAACATTCTTTATGATGATAATTATATTTATATGTCATTATTATTGTCTCTTTATTATCACTGATGTGTGTGTGTGTGTATCTAATGTCTATTGTTTGACCCGAAAGCTTGACATTGGTGGTGGTGGCGACAACCACCGTGGAGAAACAAAATGGAAAGGAAAGAATTCAACTGATGATGATGTCAAATAAAACATTTTTTTCCATGTGATTCATTTGAATCGATAATAAAACATAAAAAACGAGAAAAGAGATAAAAATGGGTTTTTAGGAAAATTTTCCATTTTTTTTACCGAAAAAAATCATGATTGCATATCGTCGAGGTATTTTTTTTTTTTGTCATTGGGAAGAGAAAAATTTCCTTAAAATAAAAAAAAATTCAATCATGTGGAAACCATCAACGGAATGACCGAAAAAATGAATGAATGATAATGCACATCTTTTGTTGACGCAAAGAAAAATTTTGTTCCAATTTTGGTTTCTTGTTTCAATTATATCATCATTTATTTTCATGAATGGAAATTATTCAGAAATATTAAAAATTGTAATGCAAATTACATTCATCATTATTCGCCTTTAATTTTAGCCAAAACGGCTTGTTTTCTTTGCTCAATTTTATTCTTACGTGCAGCCAATGTAAGTTTCTTGGCCTTCCACACTTTAACCTTTGTTTTATCCGATGGTTTGGTTCGTTGTTTCTTCGCCGGTGGTGATGGATCATTACGGATTGCTTCATGAGCTTTTTCATAGATGTTTTCAAGCTATTTATAAAAAAAATAAGAATCAATAAAGCTTTGTTTTGATTGAAATAAAAAAAAAAAAATACCTCATCGCTAGTGATACCAAGTTTAATGTATTGAGAAAATTGTCGTTTATATGCTTCTTCGTCTTCTTCCAAAAGTTTTTTCATATATTCGGCTACATGTTGACCGAATATATGATTACGATGAACTTCAGCATTAAATTCTTTGGATTCATTATCATATCCAGGGAAACGTTTGGTCGAATGAGGAATATCGATACCACCATCGGCTGCACCTTTCATAACACCGAATACACGTGCACCAGTTGTTGTACGTGCTAAACCGACATCCAAATAAGCACGGAAAGAACGTGGTTGGCCATCAATATTCTCCACTGTATATTGTTCACCATTCACTTCTTCAGTTCCTTTATAGATGCCGTCAAGTTTGTATTTTTGAAGCAACTAAATTTGGGAAAAAAATTTGGATAACTTGAATTCTTATTCAATTTTTGACAAATTACCCGACGAGCAAGCAACAACCCGGTACAATAAGCGGCAGCATAATTGGTAAGACCAACTTTGATACCATAACGTGGCAATTCATGAGCATAGGCAGCACAAACAATTTGATCACCTTCAATTTTAGCGTAGGCAATCTGACAAATAATGTCTTTGTTTGTGAATCGAACAATCAAACGATATTTCGGTGTATTGTATTTGTTCTTGTCTTGAACAACCAACCGACGGCGAGCATAGTAATCGGTTTTGCCCTCTAATTAATAATAACAAAAAAAATACAATTAATCAACTAAAAATTTTAAAGAAAATCATCAAACTATTATATACCTCGCCTCCTTTTGAATTTAACCTGAAAACGTTTGAAATAAGCTTTGTTCTTGACGACTTTGACAAAACCAGCCTAAATATCAGAAAATTAGTCACGTTAAAAATTCATTTTCATCAAAAAAATTGACACAAACCATTTTTATTGAAAAAAAATTAAAAAAAGTTCAAATTTGAAAGCCGAAACAAAAACACAGACACACGATGAAAACGTGAAAGGAAAAGAAAACAGTTCCGTCTGCGTGCGTGTGTGAATCGCGCGTGCAGCTTTTTTTCCCCACCTTATGTTTGACCGTTCATATAGTACGTTTCACAATAAAAACATTCGATTCGATGATGAAATTGATTCACGCGCGTTTTTTCTCTGCAATTGGTTAGAAATTTAATTGTTTTTTCAAAAAATGTCCGATTCTGAATTGTTTTCTGAGGTATTTTTTCAATACAAAAAGACTATTTTTTTAGAAAATTTCATTTTATAGGACAATTGTGAGATCGAAGATTGTGTTCCATCGACTCAACTTGATGATAAGCTCATTTTCAAACTTTTGGATGATGATGTCAATAATGAAGAAACTCTTCTCGAATTAAGTCATCGTGATGATTTTCCCTGTTACATCTTGAATGCAATGCATTATAATGATGATTATCTCATTGGAATAACAAATCTAATTCGAAGATTGATGAAGATTGACCATGAATCGGTTAATCGTTGGGTCGGTTTAGAACAATTGGATGGGGATGGTGATGAAGTTGTTTCAATATTTTCTTTCTTTTTTAAACTTTTCGGTGAACAAACCGAAGCATTTGCCTATCCTGAAGTTATCGAATATAAAGATTTGTAAGTTGAACCAACTGCATGTGAGAAATAATTTTTTTTTAATTTTTGTCAAATTTTTTCAATTTCAAAGAAAATTTAGTCTTTATGATTATGTTGCATCCATACTTTGCGCTTTCATTTTGACACTAAATGAAGAACAATTCGAAGAAGCTGAAGAATTTTTATTTGATAAATTATTCTCTTCGGATCCAATCAAAGCTTTAATGGCCTCGGATATCATTTGTTTCATGTGTCGAGTTTCAAAACCATTTGCATTGGACATGGCTGAAGTTTTGTTCAAAACAATGAGTGAAATCTGGTTTGAAGATGTCAAAACCGCCTCATCGGAACATCAATCGATACTGCAAGTTTTGCAATTTACCTATCAAATTTTGTTGAATCTATCGAAACGTATTTTTAAATTCATTGATAAAGCTCATTTTGATAAATTAGATCAATCATGTCCTCATCATACCAATCTAATGATTTGGAATAATTTCGATTTCAAGATTGAAGATATCATTGTGCCGAAAAATAAGCGCGTTCTCTATGAAAAAATTTATAATCACACAAAATTCATTGACGTAAAACCCGATGATTCAATTATTTATTCACTGGTTAAAAATTTCTTCAATTCAACCAACGAATATGATGCATTGTTACATCTAAGACTTCTGAACAATATCAAGACCTTTTTGAGTTATTCCAATTTCAATAGTATAGTGTTTAAAATCAAAAACCTGTTGCTTTCTTCGAATCAACTATCCCAATATCGGTTGGAATTTTCCATTGGCTGTTTGAAATTGTTAAATGCTTTGGCCAATGCCAAAGATGAAAACTATAAAAAATCATCTTTCAACATTAATTTATATCAAGTTATTGTCGCTTTATTCGATGAATGCAACAACGATTTTGTGAGCAAACTTTATTATTTTGCCACATTACCAAACATTTTCCAAAATCCATTATTCGCCAATATTTTGGCTAACCTAAAAGATTCTCGAATCAAAACATATCTCATTTTTCAAATCAAATATTATCAAGATAAAAAATCATTGCTACAAGATGAAAAAGAAATTTATATGAAACAATTGTATAAAACTGATGAACTTTCTATACCATTCGAAGCTCGATACAAATATATCGATTCCGAAATCAAAGACATTCCAATCGATGAATTATCTTTTGATCATTTTAATCTCTTTCGAAGAAATGAAAATCTTTCAGTTGTAAAAAACGAACAATTGATTAAAGAATTTCGTTTGTTTATTGAAAAAATGAAAAATATCCATTTCGCCAATGATGAAGAACGGCAAAAATTTATGCTACTATACAATGAGTTGGGTGAAATTTTCAAACAAAAGTGATAATCATAATCAATCATCATCGTCGTCGTTTCGTAAACCTCCAAAAACTTCTTTTGGAACCATTTTTTGTTCAATTTCTGTTTCAAATTTAAATAAAAAAAATATGTCAAAGTTGATTTTGAATAAATAAAAAAAATCCAATTAATTATAATTACCAGTCAATTTAGTTTTAGATGATTGTCCATTTTCGTCTTCATCACCATCGCTTTGTTCCGCATCCAAATCTTCATCGTCATCCAGATTTATTTCATCTGGATTGGCTGTATCGGTAATGATGATGGTTTCATTCATTTTATTACCATTATTCGTTGCTGAATCTGATTTGACAAATTGTACGGCATTTTTAATCTCTTGTTTTGTCTGTTGATTAGCTTCTGCAGCGATGTTTTCCAAATCATTCATTTTGTTATTCTGTTCTTTATCCTGTTGATGGAAAGCTGAAGCCATCATTTGTGCGGACATGAAATTAACTTGTGTATTGAATGTGGCCATCACTGAACGTTTTATTCGAAGCATTTCTCGTACCGTATCTTCATTTCCATGTTTTATCTCAAAATCTTTCCACGCATTCCAGAATGTAGTGGCCGTACGTGGATCACATATCTGGCTACAATGTGCATATATGGCACGTGCACGGTCAATTTCACCCAATTTTCGTTCGAGATCGGCAAATTTCAAACACATTTCACGTGCTTCAGCATCTGGCAACATTTCGATTGCTTTCTCATAGATTGATCTCGTATGTGTAACGCCAAACATTTCGGCTGCTTTACGAATAAAAATATTGAATACTTCCATTCGTTCGGATGATGGTACTTTTTTCGTTGCTCGATCATAAATAGTGGTTGCATTTCTAGCCAAACCATATTCTTCTTCACATTTAGCATAAAGGAAAAAGAAATGCTTACAATATGTTGCCGGACAATATTCTAGACATTGTTCAAATAGATCTCGTATACGTTCCAATTTGGAACCTTTATATCGTCGTAGAAATTTCGTTAGATATGTATTCCAAATGTCGAAAACATTTGGCCATCGAAACAATGCGATACCTTTCTCATATGCTTTGAATGATTCTTCAAAGTATCCGTTTTCCTCGAGGAAAAGGCCATAATTTATGATTATTTGCGGTGTGACGATTTTCAATTCAATTATTTTATCATACACTGCTTTTGTTGATTCAAATGTTCCAAAACTTTCCTCCAAGTCGGCATACATTGACCATATTTTCAATGATTTATATAAACGGTTCTGTACCGATTCGGATTGATCATAATATGATGTTTTTCTAGTTGGAATAGAAACGGCTCTTTGCATTAATTTTAATGCCGTTTCGAAATTGTTATTACGCACTTCCATTTCTACCCATTCACACCAAACATTGGCCAGATCTTCAACTTTTACGTATTCAACTGTGACGGCTTTTTCGAAAATTAATCTTGCATCTTCAAGCTGGCCATTAGATTCATAGAATTGGGCAAATTTTACCCACAATAAATAATACTTGCCGATTGCTTGTTTTGCCTGTACAGTTTGTACAGCATCACTATAAACTTCAACAATCTCGGCTGGTTTATTTTCCAACAGTTTAACTCTTTTCAACCATTCTTCAACATTATGTGGATTTTGTCGCAATGCAACATTGTTCAATAATAATGGTCGTCGTTCGATGATATCTTCATATCGTATCATTCGTAAATCCAATTCAATTTCATCATCTTCACTTAGATTCTCTTGATTCATACGGATCTGAATCAATTTCTCTTCACTTTGTGTGTAAGCATCGAAAATTTGTGAAAAATCACGAACAGTTTTAATGTTGGCCAATGCTTCTTCGAATATATCACGTGCTTTATCAAATAAACCGCTACGAGTATAATATTCGGCTAAACTAATCCATAGTTTTCCTTGTTGATCAACATATCGTTTTATGCCTTCACGAATAATTACATCAACATTGAGTGAATGAATTTCACCCGGATGACGGCATAGAATTTCGGCTAATTCTGTCCATAGTTGATGTTTAGATCGACCTTGTTTAGAAACGAAATGTTCATCATTTACAATTTCTGTCAATTTCAATGCAGCTTCATCCCATCGTTCTATCGAGATCAGATAATCGATAAAATCTTCAGCTTCTTCTGGCGATAACATTAGATAACGACGATAAACACGAATCGAGGTTTCGGGAAGATTATGTGATTTAACGAATTTTAAATATAATGGCCATATACGATTATGTTGAGTGATTGGTAACGCTTGTAATGCACGATCAAATGTTCGCCGTGTTTTGGTCAAATCACATTGTGAAATTAAAAATTGTAGATATTCGATCCATATTCGTGGCATTTTATGCATAAAAACCAATGAACGTTCAAAACAATTATTCGAATCCTTTACGAGTGGATCAAATATTGATAACGAACTTGTCTGTTTAACGCGAAGCTTAAGATAACTATACCATAGTTTATAACTACCAGGCATTAATTTCAAAGCTCTTTCATATAATAAATTGACAACATTGTTTGATGATTCTTTCTTATGATCAATATAACGCAACCAATGTTTGATTGAATAAGAATTTCGGAGAATATCTTCTTCGTGAGCCAGATCTTCTTCGCTCTGTGTGTGTGTGTAAAAATAAATTCATTGAATTATAAAAGTTTAACTTTTTTCACAACAATACTCACGATAACAATAGATGAATTTTTCTCCGTATCATTATCCATTATGATTTTTTTGAGATGAAAATTTAAATTTGATGAATCAAAGATTTTTAGCCGGCAAAAAATTCAAGCAACAAATTCGTTTCAAAGAATATTGTGCGTGTGTTGTAACTGAGTATATTTTGACACTAGTTAGACTATTCCGACATTGATTGTCCATTTTTTCGGGATTCACACAGCATGTATTTTAATTCTCAAATGGTGATGATGATGATTTGGATGGATCTTTTACTGTGATTTGTGGAATTATTTTAGTCTGCTTGTAGATAATTTAATATATCCAAAATTTCAAAAAAAAAACACAAAAAACATGGACAATAAAAAAATTCGACTAGCTAGTCCAAATACAGTGAATGAATCTAATAATACTTCGATCAATTCCAATCAATCATCAGTACCACCAATAACAACATCGAATTCGAATGAATTAATTTTTCCTTTTTTAAACAATCCACTACCGATCCCTCCTCATACTCATCCGATTGGATTATTTCCACCCAACATGGCCATATTTCCACATTTAAATCCATTCTCGTTTTCACCGATTCCTTTTTCATCTCCTTTCGGATTACAATGGCCACCACCACCACCACCATTTATTCAACCATCAACAACATCTATTCCACCAATGGCAAGAATATTGCCGCCACCGCCACCACTGCCTGCTTTCAATCGAATGACTACGACAACGACAACAACAATCATTGAAAATAATCCTAACAATGTTATACGACCACAAACTCCATGTTCAAATTCCAGTACCACGAATGTGATCAAAAACCAAAATTGTATTCATAATAATAATAGACATCATCATATTGTATCCAAATCTTATAGTCATCGAGATGATGAAAAACGAAATAATAATCGATCATCATCATTTGATCGTTATAAAAATGATGACACTCGAACAAGATCTAATCGTTTTAATAATGGTGGTGGCGATGATGATGATGATGAAAAATACATGAATAAAAATAAAATTCAAGAAATAATGGATCAAATTTACTCGAAAAAAATCCTTTATAAACGATCAACACCATTAGAACCTTATTATAAACAAAAACCGTTGATTGTTGATAAAGATGAAATCATTCAAACTATTGAAGGCACACAACAATTGATCGATCTTAGAGATAAATTCAAAAATGAAATTCTATCACGTGCCGAACGTTTTCGATCATTAAAACCAGCGTTTAGTTTTCCAAAACGAAAAATCAAACTGAAAGCACATAAACATCATCATGGTAAGCTATTTATTATTCAAAAATTTTGTTCAAATTTAAATTTTTCTCCCACCCACAATTAGATAAATGCGGATATTCATGTGCAAGCGATGAAAGTGATTTTGATGATAGTAGTGATTTCAGTGATGATTCTGATGATGAAAATGAAAATAGTTCAATGAAAGAATTGGAGAGGAAAAAGTCTCATCCATATCGATTACATGAAGAACTTTGGTATAATGAACCCGGTGAAGTAGATGATTTTCAATGTTGCTTTTAACACAAATGATTCTATTAACAAATAATTTTTTGTTTTTGTAACCACAAATAGATGAATGATGGCCTATTATGTCGTTGTAGTTTGAAAGCACAACGTAGTGGCATCCGACATGGTATATATTTAGGTGAAGGACATTTACCTCCATGCGATCCAAATACGAATAATCGTCATCGGCTTTATCATTATGTTGTATCGATTAATCCGAAAATTAATTTTCTCGCCAATGCACCAACGAAAATCAAACATGATGATCATATTTATTATTTCGAAGGCTATTCATTATTCTCACATTTTCCGATACCGAATTCATTTCCATCATGTAAAATTATACGCTATAATATTGGCTATGAAATTACATTCGTTGAAGATGATTTTCCACAAAATTTTTGTGTCGGTGATCTTGATCTTATGTTTGATTATATTTTCTTGGAACTATTAGAATTGGTCGATCTTAATGTTAAAGCTAAAGATGATGATAATGGTTGTAATCGTTTCCATTTCATGCCAAGATTTGTTCGTCTACTAGAAAATGATGGTAAAGAATTACTTTCAATGAGTTTGGTACTCGAATATTTGTATCGAAAATCTCAACCATTAATTGATGACTCAAAATTAGACCACTATTCTCGTATGACCATACATGAATGGAATACATTTGCAACGAAACATAAAGGATATCTGATCACATGTCCATCAATGAAACCATGTTCGATACGTGTCGATCAAGTTGACCGTGAAAAAGATGATATCGTTGATGACGATAATAATCGAAATGCCGATCAAAGTCGTGATGATGATGATGATAAATTTCCCGTAATTGTTCACTTTGGAATTCGTCCACCGCAATTAAGTTATGCTGGAAATCCTAAATATCAGAAAGCATGGCGTGATTATGTGAAATATCGTCATCTATTGGCCAACAAGGAAAAAGTTACATATGATGATAAAGAAATCCTATTGCAAAAAGAAGAAAAACTACAGGAAATGCGATCAAAAAGTGATCTAAAACGTGATGTAACAGTGGTAGTTAGTAGTAAAGGATTCTATTGTACAGGTCTGCAATGTGACATTGTTCAACATTCATTGATCATTCCCGTATTAATTAGTCATTTAAGATTTCATTATTCCTTGCAACATCTCGAAAAGATCATTGGATATACATTCAATGATCGATCATTGTTGCAACTTTCACTTACACATCCTTCTTATAGAGAAAATTTCGGTACAAATCCGGATCATGCCCGTAATACGTTGACCAATTGTGGTTTACGTTATCTTGAATATGGTGACCGAAAGGTACATTTCATGAATACCCGTAAGCGAGGCATTAACATGTTGATCAATATTATGTCACGGTTCGGGTGTAATGAGGAGACCGTTTCGAATATCAACCATAATGAGCGTCTAGAATTTCTGGGCGATGCTGTCGTCGAATTTCTAACATCTATTCATCTTTATTTTCTATTTCCCGATCTGGAAGAAGGTGGCCTTGCAACATATCGTGCTGCATTGGTACAGAATCAACATCTGGCCGTATTGGCACGTAAATTACAATTGGAAAAATTTATGCTTTACGCTCATGGATCAGATCTATGTCATGATCTTGAACTAAGACATGCAATGGCCAATTGTTTTGAAGCATTTATGGGTGCATTATTTCTTGATGGCGGTATCGATGTTGCTGATCGCGTTTTTTCCTCTACATTATTTGATGGTGATGATGAACAATCTGGATTATTGCACAAGATATGGGTGAATTATCCACGCCATCCAATACAGATACAGTATCCGAATGGTGATCGTCATCTAATTGATAAGGTAAATCGTCTTCAGGAATTGGCAAAATTCGAACAAATGACTGGTATCGAATTTCAACATATCCGACTGTTGGCACGTGCATTCACACATCGTAGTGTTGGCTATAATAACCTAACATTGGGTTCAAATCAACGAATGGAATTTCTCGGTGATACTGTTCTACAATTAATTGCATCCGAATATCTTTATAAATATTTTCCCGATCATCACGAAGGACATTTATCATTATTACGTAGTTCATTAGTGAATAACAAGACACAGTCGGTTGTTTGTGATGATCTGGGCATTATCGATATGACACAATATAATTCGATAAAATCCGAATTAAAAACAAAAGATCGTGCTGATTTATTGGAAGCATTTATTGGTGCACTTTACGTGGATAAAGGTATTGATTATTGTCGTACATTTTGTGAGGTTTGTTTCTTTCCACGATTAGAACAATTCATTATGAATCAAGATTGGAATGACCCGAAATCAAAACTACAACAATGTTGTCTAACATTACGATCGGCCGATTGTGGGGAACCAGATATTCCTACTTATAAGTACATAGTTTTTTTTCCTAGAAAATGAAACTTTAATTTCAATTTGATTCTTTTTCAACTTTAGGGTCATTGATAGTAAAGGTCCAACGAACACACGAATCTATGAGGTTGCCGTCTATTTTCGTGATGATCGATTAGCCACTGGAAAAGGTCATAGTATACAGGAAGCTGAAATGAATGCCGCCACTAATGCTCTTCGATTATCCAAAGGTTTTTTTTCGAATTTTGCTAATTTATTCAATAATTTTTTTTCTCTCTCTCTCTCTGTTTTTGTTTGTTTGCAACCATAGAACTTTTTCCACATCTAATGCTGCAGAAACGAGTCATACAACGAAATATAATCAAAACAACGACAATAAAAGATTCACGTGATGGTGAAACATCATCATAATAATATGGATGATCAGATTGATGATAATCGATTTCATTTTTTAAATATCTAGTTTTTATTGAATTTTTTTTCGATTATTAATCGTTCTTTTTTGTGTGATAATATAATATATAATAATTATTAAAATTAAAAATTGCCAAAAAGAAATGAATTTGTGTCCGATAATCATAGTTTTTTTCTTAGTTAACAGATGGTAGTACTTTTATAAATTGAAATTAAATACCTGCAACTTTTATTTCAAGTTCATTGAAAATAAACTCAAGGCTCAAAACAAAAATATCATTGATCAAACCAAAAAAAATTTCGATGCCACAAATGAATGTCGAAGATTCCAATCGAAAAGCATAAATCTCATCCTGACAAGTTGCCGATAACATCAGGCCGTACATCAAACCACATAGGTTTTGTATATACAACAACAACAACAAACTGAAATCTATTTTGCAATATAGAATCTTCAAAATGTCCAATTCATATGAATTTTTTCTTCTTTCCGAGTCTTTTTGATGAGCAAGCGTAAAAGAAATGGAAAAAATGGCCGATTTTTTTTTTTTCGGCATAATGGCTATCACCAACCAAGAAAAAAAAAAAAAAATCTTCAAATTCATTGAGAATGATCGGTTCTGGTATACCCCATATATGGAGTGTGTGTGGATCCTTCAAGAAGGGCGGAAATTCTTACATAACATCGATATATAGTATTGTTGATTGAAGAATATGAATTGTAAACTATATGTGTGCGCGTGTGTACTTCATATATGATCTATATATCTTTTGGTATTCATATAATAATAGTGTTATTATTTTGGTGATGTTGGAAGTTTTCACTGATGATGATGATGATGATGGTGGTGGTGTCCACGATGATGGTGGTGGTGGCGGTAGTTATCACCAAAAACGATGACGTCAATTCATCCTGTTCGATCATTTTCTAGTGTAAATTGAGTTCTGGTAGGAAAAGAGAGAAAAAGAGTTTTATTTTTTTATCCAATTTTTCATTCATTTTCTGGATTATAATGATCACCATAATGATTGCCAGTGTATTGAATATTTGATTGTTGTTGTTGTTGTTGTTGTTATTGTCATCATTCAATACTATAGAAACAAAAATGATTCGGGTAGCCATTGTATTAACCATTGTTGTTTGGTGTCAAATATCATAATATGACTATGTCTAAGTTATTTTAAGTCATAACACATGCTGATTTACATATAATCCATTTATTTTTGTTTGTTTGTTTGTTTGTTGTTTTTATTATTATTATTATTATCTCTATGGACGTGTCCATTATCATCATCATATCCATATATAATCTATTATCAATCAACAATATTGTCATGTTTACTGGTGTGAAACTTTAATTTTCCAAATTTATGTTTTTATTTATATGGTGACATATGCCTGTTCTTCCTTTTTTGAAATTTATTTGATTCGATTATTGGTTATGATAATTACAACATAACGAACTCATCGATTTATGAAACAAAGATTCATTTTTTTTGTAAAAAAATCAATTACCGAATTTTTCTCACTTTCTTTACCAATTGGTAACCATTGATATGAAATGAATCCATTAATCAATCATTTCAAGTTGAATTGATATAAAATTGTGAATTCAAGAATTTAAAAAAAGATGTGAGCTTCATTATTGTGAATTTTCATCGACCACCAATTCAATTATTTTGATAGTTTGATTTTATTTAGTTCCTTTTTATTCATTCATTCATTCATCATTGAGTCAATTTGCCACTCATCACAACCAAACAAACGATGAAACAAATTTATCTAACTACATGTTTGCTATTGTTGACTTTGAATCTGATCGATGCATTTCAACCACAACAACAACAAAGAGGTATGTGTGTGTTTGGTACTCGCATTCGAAAACAAAAAATTATATTATTCAACGAATTTCATTTCATAATAATCAAAAAACATCCAACTTTACTGATTCCCCAAACAACAAAAACGTGTCATTCATTCCTTTTGATTAATTAATTGATTATTTGCCCAAAGAGGGAAAAAATCGAAAGAATTTATACCAAATAATTTTGGGTAAATTCACATTTCTACACACACACACACACATCAATTTTATATATCAAACAACAGATCAGACAATAGATAGATAGAGAGATCTGACATTGAAATTGAAATCATTATTATGCACATGCTCCAATCATCATCATATGAACGGTTTGGTGATACCGTTCCTTTTCCGTGGAAAAAAATTCCATTGATTATATTGTGATGACAGGAAGGATTTTTTTTCATTTTCTTTTTTTTCTGCTGCTATATATTCGAGTATAAGAATTGAAAAAGTGATAAAGAAAAAAGAAATTCATTGATTTTGTCATGTTGGCGTGTCATGAATTTGGCATGTTTTTTTTACGACGACGACGATAATGATAACAATTTATTGAATCAAAAACTGTTGTTGTTTTCAAAATGGAATTTTTTTGAATTTAATTAGCTAAATGGAATGACTTTTTTTATGGTTACTTGAAAATAATAATTATTATTCATTTATATTTCTGTCATTTCTGTTTTGTTTCGTTTGTGTTTAGTTAAACCGCAAAATAAATATGAACCATTTTCAACAAGCTATCTAAGAACACTATTACCATATGGTGGTGGACATAATAATGTTTATTATCGACGACCATCACAGCAACAAGAATTCGATCTTCGACGGCAACAGATTGATGAAGATCCATCCGAAACAGAAAGCAGCAGCAGCAGCATCAATCCAACAACAATTGGCATTATTAAATGATGATGCTGGTGTTTTTCTCAATGGACCCGAAGGACTATTAAGTAAATATAAGAATTTAAATAGACCTATTTCTGTTGCTGCTCTACAAAGGAAACAAACATACAATCAACAAAAACAACCAATCAGTGATGAGGAATTGAATAGACTATTTGTTTCCATACAGAATATACAACCACCAATCGATGAAAGAAATGATGATTATTTGAATTTGAATGATGAAAATAGAGCATCCGAACAATTATTGGATTTTGCCAACATTATTGGCAACAGGCAACCCGCTGCTGCTGCTGATGCTATTATAAATGATAATATAAACTATGGAAATTCCGATTTCAATCGAAAATGGAAATTACAGAAACATTTAACATCATCATCATCATCATCACCATCACCATCATCAAATCATGGGCAACAGCAGCAGCAACACCAACAAGCTCCGGTTTATCGTGAAGAAAATATGGCAATACCATATGATGAAATTGAACAAACTAAAAAAAGAAAGGAAACAAAAAATGTCAGTGTTAACAATAATGGTGATGATAATCAATCATTAATGGAGAAAAAAAGGTTACAAGTACCATCGAATGTTATGAATAATGAACATTCGATACAAGCACCGAAATCATATCAACAATCAATTATTAATACGAAAAGTTCAATTCAATCAAAATTCAGTAGTTTATCGGACATTTATTTCATAGGTAATACAATTTTTTAATTGAACGAGCATTATCATCATTAATTTTGATTTTAATTTAATTCAATTTTATCATAGCAATCGTTGCCTGTGTCAGCACGATTGCCATATTTTCAGTGATCGGTGCCGGTTATTGTTTCTATAAAGTACAACAAAGTAACAAAGCTGCTGCAGATGTGGATTTCCCTGCATATGGTGTAATAGGACCTGTTAGTCGAAATGATGGTAATGATGGAAATAAATGTACATCACCGAATAATGATCGTAAATTAGTGCAAAGTGCACAAATCTATCATTATCATCATCAAAAACAACAGATGATTTCAACCGAAAAGCAAGTGAAATGATTGATTGTTGAGTCCATTTTTTAAATTTTTTTTTTTTTTTGTTAACAGAAATTCCAATGCACCAAAAAAATAGTACTCTTGGTTCAGATATTGAATCAGATGAAGAAAATGAAGATGGTGAATACACCGTATATGAATGTCCGGGTCTTGCACCAACGGGTGAAATGGAAATTAAGAATCCATTATTTCAAGACGATATCACACCAATGTCATCCCCATCAGTAAATGGTTCAACAGCAACAAGTAAAGATACAACACCAAAAGATAATGATTCGAAACAATCAATAAACAATCAACAACAAAAACAATCACAAAAATTTGATAATAATCTAAATAAGAATGGAAAAACAGAGTAAAATTTCAGACATTAATAAATAAACAAATGTGATGTGTTTGTCCAACAACAACAAAAAAGGGTCAACAACACAACAACAAAAAATTATTCATCAAATTACAAAAATCATTCATCATCACAATCATCAATCAAACATCGTTTGTTTCATCTATCTAATGATAATTAACAAATCATAGAAATAAAGAGAGATTTTAAAGGTTGCTATGCGATGATATATATAATGATCACACACACACACACACACGCTTACAAATTTACACCCAAGATAAAGACATTATATAACAAACGAAAAATAACTTTTCTATAGATACAACAACAACAAACACAAATATGAGACCTGACACACACCAAATACCAATAAAAACATAGGACACATTCAATGGAGATTCTGGATGAATGAAAAGTGAAAATCAAAAAAAATGACCAAGATTCAGGAAATAAAGAAATGATTCGAATGATTGCAATCTTCAATGATTCTTCAAGGCAAGGATACACACTCACACACAGACACGCAGAAAAACACACACACACAATATTGTTGTGGACAGAAACAACAAAACAAAAAAAAAACTAATCAAATATTTCTTTGTTACTCACAATTAGATGATAATAATAATGATAATGATGAAAAATTTTATTCTCGTTATAATGAAGCGATCCCCACCTATCCGATTACCGTAAACACCGTTTCATATAAATAAAACGTTTATAAATGGGCCACTTACGTTTTGTTAATGATCATTTTGTTTCGATATATGATTAGGTTGATTTGATGATTTTATTGACAAAATGCTATAATGAAAACTTGAAGAAAATTTTTTCGATCAAATCGAATGTTGAGAAATGAATTCGGATATCATCAAAGGCCATTCGTAGAGAATGTGTAAAACATTTGTTAAAAAATTTTATTAATTTTTTCCTATCTTTTTGTCATGAATTATCCGCATTCACTTGTGAATTTATTTATATTTAATGTGTGGGCATCGACCGATAATAATAAGAATAATAATGACAAATGGATTGATTGGTAAATGGTCAATACGTTTTATTTTTTTCACTTGTAATTCTTATTAAAAAATTTATTTCGTTTTTTTCAGGCTAAATAAATATAAAAAAAACAAACGAAATAACAGATAAGCAATTATGGAACTGAATCCCGTTTCGCATATCTGTGTTTCATTGTATATTTTTTTTCCAAAGTAAACATTTCAAAATGAAATTGTCAAGATCACCTTCAACGATAATGACAATAAATCTTTGATTGCCACCTGCAGACACAACAGAATGAAAAACAATTCTATTTGGAATGAAATCCAAAAAAAACAATCATTATCATTTTGGGTATTGAACCAGGTCACATCGGTATCGTAACCATTTTACTTGGATGATTGAAAATCATGGAACCTTTGTTTTGTTTTTGTCAATCAGTCATATGGTTTGCATTCAAATCATATTCAAAAATGATTTTTCATTCTGAATTTATGATCACCATATTAATATCGTTATTTTTGTTTTATGATTCTTCCAACAATGTACAATATCCATCTCAAAGATTCAATATTCATAACAACAACAACAATAATGTAAAGAATCATATGGAACAACAATCAACATTGAATATTAATGAACATGAAAGAATCGATTCGAACCCAGAATCATCTTATCAAATGCATAATGTAACCGTTTTAATGTTAATTTCTAATCAAAAAGAATTACCCGTTCATTATGAAACATTAAAGCCAACAATGGAATTGGCTTTGGATGAAATTCGTACAAAATATTCGCATATAAATTTTAATCTAATCACCCGGCGTGATCATCATGATTGTGAATCAAATTTAATGGGCGCAATTGTGGCTGAACATTATTTCAATGACCGAATAGATGCATTAATCGGGCCAATATGTACGAAAGGTCTTGAACAGGTAGCACGTTTAGCATCATATTGGAATCTACCATTGATGACAGCCGGTGGTGTTGGTGTACAATTTTCCGATAAAACCATCTATAAAACATTGACAAGAGTATCATTTGCATTGGGTGAGCAATTCATTAATTTATTAATTATTAATAATGAATCTGGTTTTTTTCTTATTTGCCATCAAATATCAGATCGAGTTGCATTATTTTTCATCAAAATACTACAGGATCATGATTGGCATCACATTTCAATGATTGTAGATGAAAGCGATTCACAAAGTTTGTTGATCAAGACGAGTATTGAAAAAAAATTTAATGATATTACAGATTATGAAATCTTTTTGGATAAACAAATCCTATCTGATAAAATTCATCATGATGAAACATTATATGATAGGTATTTGTTACAGGCCAAAAAATCGGCTAGAGGTAATTAACTTGACTTTTTCAGTTTGTTTGTTTTCACCATCATTTCATTTCATTTCATTTCTTTTTGGTTCCAGTTTTCTTTTTGACCACAAACACAGAAATGACCCGTAATTTATTGATCCATGCATATGATTTGGATATGACAAATGATTATGCATTTTTGGTCTTCAATTACTGAACGATGGTGATGAAAATTTCGGATGGTATAAACAAGGAGATAAAAATAATCGTAAAGCAAAAATCATGTGGGATTCATACATGACGATCAGTGTTCATGTTCCAACATCACCGGAATATAATCTATTTGTGAGCAAAGCATTTCGTAAAGCTTCCAATGAATTTGACGGCATTTCGGATAAAAACGTAAATGTTTTAACAATAGTTAAATGACGTTTGATTTAATTTCAATGTTTTTTTTTGATAATCAGATAAATCCACTTCTTGCAGCTTTATATGATTCTTTATGTTTTATGCTCTGGCATATAATAAATCCATTTCATCAAATAGTAATGCCACTGACAATAACAATAGAATTAATCGTTATCTTTGGAATAATGTTTTTCAAAATGGTTTGTTTCCTTGGAAATGACTTTTTATTCTTTGAAATTGATTTGTCTTGAAATTCAATTAACAAAGGTTTAACCGGAGAAATGTATCTGAATGAAAATGGTGATCGTGAACTTGATTATACATTGAATGATTTTGATGCTGAAATGGGCATGATGCGACCAGTAATGACATTTTATGGACGTAAACGATTAATCAAAAGAGTCGATGGTATTCGTATTCGTTGGCCAAATGATTCGATAGCACCACCAGATTTTCCATTCTGCGGCTTTGATGGTAATGCTGAACATTGTCAGCATAAAGGTAGTTCTAAATGAATTTCTGTGGTGTTTTTAAGAGAAAAAAGATTGAGATTTTTATGGTTAATTTATTTTTGTCCAATATAAAAGTAGGACCATTGGCCATCATATTGACATTGTGTACCGTATTGGCAAGTTTTACATTCATATCCTCAGCAGCTGCTTACTTTATAATCAGAAAAATTAAATCCGAAAATGATTTGCATAGTAATTGGTGGCAAGTACATTACGAAGAGATTAAATTTCCCAATGAACAAGCGGGTAAAAAATCATCATTATCAACTGGAACATTCGAAGGTGATGGTACTACAAAATCAGATAAAACATCTGTAATGACAAGATCGGTCACACAAGTATCAGCAACGCATTCATTGAATAGTGCTTATGGACGATCAGGGCCAGTATTAGTTGGCCATTTTAGAGGCATACGAATTGCGTTTAAATCGTTGAATATTAAAAAACTTTCAATCGGTCGTAAGTTGCTCATCGAATTGACTAATATGCGTGATTTATTACATGAAAATTTAGTCAAATTTGTTGGCCTATGTATCGATGAGAATAATACCGGTGTGGTCACTGAATTAATGATGAAAGGAAGTTTACGAGATATTCTCGAAACGGAAAAAATACAGATCGATTGGGCATTTCGTTATTCAATCATAAGCGACATAATTGAAGGTATGATCTATCTGCACAACTGTGCATTTGAATACCATGGCCGTTTAAAATCGACCAATTGTTTAATCGATGGAAGATTTATGGTCAAAATCGGTGATTATGGTCTACGAAATTTATTTAAACAAATTGGAAAAGAACAAGAAGTCAATCCTCGGTCATTGTTTTGGACAGCGCCTGAACATTTGCGTTCAACTGAACCCTACAAGTGTGGTTCAAAAAAAGGCGATGTTTATTCATTTGGCATCATTCTTCAGGAAGTGATTACTCGATGTGAACCATTTGAATCATCTACGGAAGATAAATCTTGCCTGGAACCAACGGAAATTTTGGATCGTGTCAAAATGGGTGGAGAAGTACCGTTTCGACCGGTTGTAAATTGCGAAGATTGTCCACGTAATCTAATTAAACTAATGGAAACATGTTGGAGTGAAAATCCTGACATTCGACCAGATTTCGTTAAAATTAAACCATATTTTAAGAAAATTTCAAAAGGTCTTACTAGTACAAATTTTTTGGACAATCTCCTGAATCGAATGGAACAATATGCAGAAAATCTAGAAAAAATTGTCGAGGAAAAAGCGGCCATCGTTATTGAGGAAAAAAATCGTGCCGAAGAATTATTGTATCAGATACTACCACAATTTGTTGCTAATGAACTAAAAGCAGGAAGACACTGTGTACCAGAATCATTTGAATCCGTGACCATATTTCATTCGGATATTGTTGGTTTTACAACAATTTCATCACAATCGAATGCAATGCAAGTTGTTAATCTATTGAATGATTTATACACATGTTTTGATGCTACTATTGGCTATTTTGATGCATTCAAATTTGAAACAATTGGAGATGCTTATATGGTTGCATCTGGGCTACCTATTCGTAATGGCGATAGTCATGCCAAAGAAATTGCAATGATGGCATTGAAATTATGTAAAGCGGTAGACAAATTTCGTATACCACATCTGCCGAAAACAAAATTAAAACTTCGCATCGGTATCAATAGTGGACCATGTGATGCCGGTGTTGTAGGATCGAAAATGCCTAAATACATTGTATTCGGTGAAACGGTTATCATTGCCACAAAAATGGAAAGTCATGGCGAACCGATGAAAATACACATATCGGAATCGACAAAAAAACTATTGGACATATTCAAATGTTTCAATATTAGTGAACGAGGAAAAATTAATATCAAGGTATGAATTAGAAATGAATTTTAGCAAAATTTCCAACAAAAATTGATTTCTTTTTCTTTCTTTCTAAAAACAGGATAAAGGTGAATTTTTTACCTATTGGCTTGATTCAACAATTGAACCATTATAATCATGCTGAATTGGTTTTGGAATTCTCATTCAAAAAAAAACCTATTGTGGTCGATTAAAGATGAATTTTATTTTAATAGATCATCGTTATGTAAACTTAGAATATACATGTAGCTAAACATTGTTGGATTAATAAAAAGAATTATTAATTATTAATATGAAAATTTATATCCAATGAGAATCTTCATCTGTGGTAGTTTTATCATCATCTTTAATCATCATTGATTGTGATTTGATTGTTTCATTGGAAAATGAGCCTGATTTATTCACAATGGATTTATTTGTCATTGTTTGATTATGTTGTTGTTGTTGTTGTTGTTGCAATGACAACATAATAGGTTGACTTAATGACATTGAATCTAATTTTCTAGCAAATATTTGTCTTTTAATATTCGCATCGATTACCATTCGACTATCGATTGTATTATTACCATAGCTACCATCCGTATTCATTGTTGCATCACTTTCAATTGAGTCTTGACTTTGTGAAAATGTTTTCACCTTTTCACGTTTGGTTTCAATCATTTGTCGCCATCTTGAATGTGTTTTTTTATTCTGAACAAAATTCTGTGCCGTTCTATAGAATTTATTTTTTATCACACTTGTTGATGAACGAATTGATGTTTTCTGTGAATCGGAAATATTTGTCGAACTTTTGTCTTCAAAGTCTTCATTAATTTCGAAACTTGTCACATTTTCTTGATTATCATTTTCGACAATTGGATGATCAAAATTGAATCCTTTCATTAATCGCCTTTCACGTTGTCGGCTTTTCTTTCCCATGTGACAATTACTATTACTACCATTACTGAGTACGGTATCGAAACCATGTTTAGAGCGGCGATGTGATCCAAGCATTTCCAATAGGTCATAACGAAGTGCACTGACCTCTTGTTTAATTTCATTACAGTCATCTTCGGTAACACCACGTTGTCGTTCCTGTATCCGTTGTTCATTCATAATATAACGACGAATTAATGCACGTACCACTTTATGATATTTATAATCTCTTTCATTTGCGCGACGTTGTTTTCGCTATGTGATCAGACATCAGACAACAAGTTTATTTTATTAATAACGATTTTTATTTGAAAATTTTATCCTTACTTTGATTGTACGCATTGCTTCATTTTTACCACGTTTAGTTTTGCCTAAACAAAATTTTGCCAGCCATACGATCGTATGTAGAACGGTTTTAGGTGTCGGTATTATATTGAATGGAGGCGGGACAGTTGCACCATCACTGAAATAACTCATCCATAATTTACTTCGGGCAAATTTCCATTCCGTATCCGCTTGTTCCTGTTTTAATATTGATAAACAAAGATTGATTTTGATTTTGATTGAAAAAATGGTTGAAACTCACACTTATCGATTGGTATGAATGATTCATCATTGCTATGAGTAGATTCAAAAGAACGGCTACATTTATGATACTAAAGAAAAAAATTCAATTTTTCAAGTAAAAAAGAATGAAAAAACTTTTTTTTACCTATAAACACCAAACATTAATAAACCCCAGAATCTTGTATAGCTTTTGATGCCTATAGTGAAATACGATGAAATAACAATGGATTAATTGGAAATCACATACCGGTTAGTTCAAAATTATCCAAATCAATCAGACCAAACGTTGCCCAGAATAGTGTCTGTGTTGATTCAAATAGACTGTATGCATATATAGTGATGTGAAAATACATTGAATAAACATTGAACATTTGTACATCACATCCAATTTTTGAAAATGGCTTACTTTGCAAAACGTCTCCATGCTAAACAGGCATTTGGATGTAGAATTTCATTAATCATGGATTGTGATTTCATTGATTCATCCAATGAATTTGTTTGAACAATACAGCTCTGTTTTTCCATATCGGCATAATACCACAATAGCTGATTCATACCACATGCAAATGAAAACAATACCAACAAATAGATGCTAAAAAATTTCAAAATATCAATAACCATACGACCAAGCGAAATCTGTAATGGTCCTAGATATGGATTCACTGAAAATATATAGACCAATTTTAATGAACTAAATATGTTTGCCGTTGCAAATAGCCCTTCAGATAATAATATTGGATCAAAATCATCCCAATTCTCTCGTTGATATGCTAATGATGATACACCATTCATTATTTCTTTTTTCGTTTGATAATAGGCAATAATACGTAACGTAATTGTTGCAACATAGATGGAATTATTAATGAAATCTAATATATTCCACATATCGCTTAGATATTCACTTATGCCAAGATCCCATAGCTGTTTGATTTCACTCCAAATTAGTCCAAATACCCAGGCTAGAATGCATAATTCAATATATGATGGCAATGATCCTCTGTGATTTGTTGGTTGATTAGTGAAACAAAAGAATTGATGATTGAGTTTTCAATAAACAAAACATTCAATGTTCGAACCTTTTTGTCGTTATATTAATGTTTTCCACGGGATTGATGCCAAAAATGTTCGATTCAATACGTTGTGAAGCTAACATTAATAAAACTTGGAAAAACAAAAAAATTAAAACAAAAAATAAAATTAAATTCCATCTTTTTTCTGATCAGTGATTGTCAAATTTTTTTTCTCTGCATGCGCACACACCAAACAATTGAAGATGACTGATTTTTTAGATTAACATTGACCATGAACTTACTCAAAAATGTAACATAACTAGCCGAATGGCATATGAATTTGATGAATGGTTTTTTAATAAATTTTCCAGCTGTTGAATATGGAGCCAAAATGTATGCAATGGAAAGCAATGGAAAAAGTATTCCAATGCCGATCAATTGAAAGATTTGTATGACGATATTTTTGCGCCGAAAACCAGGCAGACCTTCGTACCATATGGATGCTAATAATTGCTGAACACTGGCATGAGCGCAAAACATTTTCTGTTTAATTTGTATTGCCAATTTCAGTCTCGATAATTGTAAACGTTCTTGATCTTCAAGTGGATCACGATCTGGATCATAATCAAGTAATATTTCCAATTCTTCACTGGTTCTCGTATGATCTAAAAGCGCCGTAGCAAATAATTGACATTGTTTACGTAATTGTAGGTATTCATTCTTGAATTCTGGTTCAAGAAAACTTAATCGTCGTAATTGCCAGCTAAGATCGAATGCGGTAAGGATTGGATCTTTACTATGAAGTGCTATAAGTGATGGTGATGATAATGCTTTGAAAGCATTGATACGTGACCGTGAATGTCTTAGACAATCTTCTTTGCTAGCCATACGGCATTCTTTACATCCACATCGTGTACCATGTGGTATCGGTATCGGTGATATATTACGATCCAAGATAATTTTAACAATTTCATAATTATTTCGATGAGCAGCTAAAACCAATGGCGTAATGTCATTGGTGAATGTTTCACGTTCGAATGCTTCCCATGAATGTGGCTGACCCGGTATATGAATCTGATCTTCATGATCTAATAGTAACTCAACGGCTTCGACAAAATCTTCATTTATAGCATGCAGCAAAGCATCTTTCATTTCAACACCGGCCATCAATAAGAGTTTAATCATTTCAATATTTTCATTATCAATGGCCATCAAAAGACCACTTCTGCCTAATGGATCACGACAATTTATGTTGAATTTGTTCATTGAATTAATCTGGCAGATTATTCTGGTTGAATGAATGAAAAACAAAAACATTTTTTATTCAAATCCTAACCAATTGAAATGGAAATCATTAATTTTGTTGTTGTTGTTTTTATTGTTACCTTTTCACGGCCGGAAGATCACCACGTTCGACGGCAAGCAAAAATTTCTTCTCCATTATGGTCAATCGATTGGGAACATTGGTTTGGTGCATATTTTCCGGGAAATTTTCCTTAACAATATCCTCTTCGATTGATGTATGTAAATTTTCTCCATCGCCAATAGTCTGTTCAGAGTGATTGTCCATTTTTTTCTCTTTAATTAATCATTCATGTATTTGACGATTATTTTGATTATGATTGAAATATAAATGGAACGAGAAAAATTTAAAATTCTATTCAATATTCACAGACAATAAAAGATTTGGCAATAAAAATGTCAATAAAAAAAAGGCGAATGAATGAAGAATATGCGGAATGCAAAATCGAAAAATTCTATCATCATCACCAATATTGAATAGAAATGATTGCAGAATTTAATAGTCAAAATGATTATTTTAGTCTTTACATACACATCGTTCAAGTTGCACTTTTGAAGCATTTAATTTTTCAAGAATCGACAATTCGCTACGTCTTAAGGATCATCATCAATATTATGGCATATCGACATGCGCTGATTTATTTGATGAAAAAAATGGCAAAATTTTCTTGTCTGTCCATATAGCAATTTATAATGTGTTTGAATGGAATTTGTTCATCGAAAATTTTAGGCGATAAACAAACAACAAATATTCATCATTGGTTTAGAATAATAATCGGATTGAATGATTGCCAAACAACAACAACGACGACAACAATAGTAATAAACCTTGAAGAAAAGGGAAAAAATGAACAATAATAAAATTGTCTGGAAAAAGAAAAAACATTATCCATGATGGCCAGAATTGAAATCCAAATAAATAAATGAATCAATGATTATTGTGTTTTGTGTTTGGGTTGCTTTTTCCTCATTCAGAAATTCTTCAAAATTCAGGAGGCTAAAATATTCCATCAGAATAGAAATGAAAAATAAAATTTCAAATTTTGAACCATCGCCGTACATAGACAACGTTCGTTAATGTTATGTCGCAATCGTACATTTTACGATGAGCAACAGAATTATAATTCTGTCTGTTGAACATTTTTTTTTAGATTTTTATTTTCTTACATAATTCGAATTGATGATTCTGAATTAAAAAAAGTGCCTTACAAAAAAAAGCAAGAAACCATGTCTAATTTGATTCAAAATCCATTACCGTCCACATCATCATCAATACAATCATCATCATCATCATCATCATCATCGTCATCGAAAATGAAACGAAAAGCGCCCGATGGAATTCCAGATTCGAACAAACGATTAGATGCTGAATTCATTTGGTAAATATGATTATTAAATAATCAATCCATTGATTTATTGTTGGTAAACTCATCACGAATTCAATTCAGTCCGATATGTTTAGATATCTTAGAAGAGGCTCAAGTGACCAAATGTGGCCATACTTTTTGGTAGTTACAATTATTATCATTTTAATCAATTTAATTTTTTTTTTTTTTTAGTTGCAAATGTATTACCGATAGTCTTTCGGAAAGTAATAATCGTTGTCCACAATGTACTCATTTTGTCGATCAATTTTTTCCAAATTATTTATGTAAGTTTAGTATTGCATTTTTTTGCCCATTGTGATTTTCGGTTTTAAAATTTAAAATTTTTACATTAAGTAAATGAATTAGCAGTGAAATATAAACGAATTAAATCTATGGAACAGGAATTGGCCAAAACAAATGTATGATTTCTTTCTTTCTTTTTTTGGTTTAATGAAATATTTTGAATTTTTCTATTTGCAGCCAGGTAAAGGATTAAATGATGTACAGAAAATGGTTGTTGAAAAATCCGAACAGCTTGACATTAAAGAAATTGATCAAATTTTAACCATACTTAATGGACGAAAAAAAGATCTTGAAACGGTATTTGAATTATTAGTTCTGTATCTGTCAAGAATAAACATTTCATTTTTTCCATGTGATAGAAAGCTCGAATTTCACAAAATGAACTACTCAAAGAATTCCTTACGAAAATAGCACAAAAGAAAAGAGAACAATGCAAATTGCTTCAATCTGAACTTTTACAAATTGATGATGATTATAAGAGATTAATTCAGGTGATGGAGAGTGAAAAAAATTCGTCCTCACCCAACATCAATGAACTTTCGGAAGAAAAAGGGATAAACAAAAAACAAACAAATTCACCCATTTCATTCAATTCAATAACATTTGGTGCTTGTTCACATCAACAAGACGATACCAGTTTCGATATGAATGCCTTATTCGAAATGCGACGAAAGAAAATGAATTTCTATTTTGATGATCTGGAAAAATGTTATCTAAATTATTGTAAACGTGACAATTATCTTGCCGACAATTTACCAATGGATAGAATGGATGAATTTCGAAAAGATCTCAATCAATTCACCCTTTATTCACAGATAAGACCATTAGCAGTATTGAATTATTCGAAGGAATCATCCAATATTGTATCAAGCATTGAATTCGATAAGGATGCTGAATTTTTCGCTATAGCTGGTGTTGCAAAAAAAATCCGAATTTTTGATTATGCTGACGTAATTAAAGAATCGTTGGGAACTTGTTATCCAATTAGTGATATTGATTTTACATCGAAAATAAGTTGTTTAAATTGGAATTCCTATCATAAAGCAATGATGGCCTCAAGTGATTATGAAGGAAATGTTATCATTTGGGATGCGTTTCTTGGCCAAAAATTGAATCTGTTCCAAGAACATGAAAAACGTTGTTGGAGTGTCGATTTCAACAAAATTGATAGTAATATTGTTGCTTCTGGTTCTGATGATTGTACAGTGAAATTATGGAGTACAAATATGGAACTTTCTATTGCAACATTGAATACAACAGCCAATATTTGTTCGGTGAAATTTAATCCAAAAAATTTATATTATCTAGCATTCGCATCAGCCGATCATAATGTTTATTATTATGATTTACGTACGACAAAATCACCATTATTAATATTCAAAGGACATAACAAAGCAGTATCATATGTGAAATTTTTGAATGAAAAGGAAATCGTATCAGCATCGACCGATAGTCAGATAAAGCTATGGACAACCGAACATTCGAATTGTATACATTCATATCGTGGACATTTAAATGATAAGAATTTTGTTGGTCTCACAACCAATGATGATTTTTTCGCTTGTGGCAGTGAAAATAATTCATTATATGTTTATTATAAAGGAATTGAAAAACAAATGCTTAGCTATTCATTCAATATCAAATCGGTCAGTTGTCAAAATTGTCAATGGATTTTGTTTAATTAATTTTTTCTCTCCTCTTTTCTTAGGAAAAAGAAGATGTTAATGATTTCTGCAGCGCTGTTTGTTGGCGAAATTTAAGTAATGTAATTGTTGCTGCAAATTCTCAAGGCGTCATTATGGTATGTAATGATAATAATAATATAATATATACATGTCATTTCTGTTGTGATAGAATCATCATAGAATCTGTAAAAATAGAATAGAGATATGTTACTATTCAAAAGAGAGAAAAAAGAGCAAAAACCATAGAATGATGTAGTGTATCATTCAATACATACAACTTTTTAACACACAATCATCGACTATAAAATATGTGTGCTATATGCACATACAAACACATACACACACACACACTATATACATAGATTTGTTCCAGAATTCTAAAGTAAAAAAAAAGACAAAATACGAAAGAACGAAAATGGAAATAAATAATGGATCGACCCCTGCGAATGGTTGTCGTCATCGTCATCATCATCCTTCGCATATCGAGCTGAATGAATTTTTTTGTGTGTGTGTGTGTGTGTGTATTGGATCATATATTTCTTCACTGACTTTTTCAGTTTCAGTGAATCTATTTTTTTCCCGTTTCATTTTAAAACCAAACACACATACACGTACATATGGCAATAGTATCGGTTTTTTTTTCACTTTTTCTGACTCGATTTGATTCAAAATTCTTAATATTTCTCTGAATATCGGTGTTTTTCGTTTTCAACGTCTTGTTCATTTTATTTTCTTCGACAATAATAACAACAATATTCTGCCTGGTCTGATGTTGTTGTATATACAGACCGTTATATAACAGACAATTTATATACACAGAGAAAACAGAAAAAAACATGCACACGAATCCACCAACCACACAAACATAGATACAGTTCCCGTTCCTAAAAATAATACCACATAATCATCATCGAAAAACTTGAATTGTCGACATGGTCTTTGTCGGTTAGTTGGTTGCTTAGTGGTGATTGTATGCGTCCATAAAATTCGTTTGATTTTTTATCTGGACTGTTTTCTCCTCATGAAAAAACTTCTATCATCATTATCATTCGACTAAGAAAAGTTTTTAGGTTTTGTTCCTTGTTCCTTGTATTCACTTTGTGTGTGTGTGTGTTCTTTTCTTCATGAGGCAAACCATTCAAAGTTGTCAAACAAACAAAAAGCGAAAATTCTTTGAACTTTAAGATTTTATCATCATCATCATCATTATATATCTATCTCTTTATGACGCTTACGTTTTATAAAATTTAAAATACTAAACAACATTTTGTTTCTAATTCATTCTGCATTGTGTTCAAATTTTACAAAAAAAAAAAAATTTCTTTTTTGTTTTTCATCCAGATTTTGGAACTCGTATAACATACGTACATGTGCCAATTCTCTTTTCAACTCTCTTTCTCAATATAATTGATTTAATTTTTTTGCATCAAATTGAAATCTCAACAACAATGAATGGAAGAAAACATTAAGAAATTGGTTGCCTTTAAATATTCTCGAACATTTTGACGAATGAATAATGTATGAAATCTGATTGAAGATATATAATCGATAAATAAAATGATAAAGTTGAATTAATTACAAACAACTATATATATAGTTAATAATCAAAAATCTATGAATTTTTTTTCATTGAATGAAATAAAAAACAAGATCAACAATTGAAAAATTGATGCATGCAATTCGTTACAATCGTAATGTTTATCCTAATAGTAATAAGAATTTTGTTATTGGAAATTGTTTCGATTATTCACGCGATTCATTATTGAATGATTCCCATGATTATCATCATCATCATCATCATTCCATTCATTATAATCCATTACAATTATTACATCAAACAACAAATATGGCTGTCATTTCGGAGATTGAAGAACACGAAAATAAAATTGTACATGAATTTTGTTTATTATTGGAAAAATCACGACAATTATTTAATGGTTTAAGGTATGTGATTCAATCAATTCTAGTGTGATGAATATAAAATTTTGTCGTTTTTTTTAAAAATAACACTCAGAGATTTACCACCATATGGCCATAAACAATGGCAACCATATTTTGGTCGTACATTCGATGTATATACAAAACTATGGAAATTTCAACAACAACATCGACAAATATTGGATTCAAAATATGGCCTTAAACGTTGGCAAATTGGAGAGATTGCATCGAAAATCGGTCAACTCTATTACCATTATTAGTAAGTTGTGAATTTGTCATAGATTTTTTTAACGTTATTTTTTTCATTCATTCAAGTTTACGAACAAGCGAAACAAATTATTTAACGGAAGCATTTTCATTCTATTCGGCCATAAGAGCGCGTGGTTATTATAGTAAAGCTAGTAAAGAAGAACGTGCTGAGTTGATGGTGAAAAAATTACGATATTATGCTCGATTCATTGTCGTTTGTTTATTGCTGAAAAAGATGAAATTGGTTCGTGATCTGGTTCGAGTATGTTGATGTTTTATTATTGGAAAATCCATTTTAAAATATCTTTTTTTTTATTATTTCATTAGGAACTTGATAAACAAATCGATGATTATACACTCACCTATGATCCGGAAGATCAACTTGAATGGAAATTAGTTTTGGATGAAATTCGTTCGTTTATTGAGGTTAGTAAGGTTGGATTCTATTGGATATGAAATTTTGATGGAAATATTTTTTCCATTTTCTAGGCTGATAATGTACTTGCCGTGATTAGTATGAACAAAACGCCATTAATTCTATCACATAGAATGACTCCATTGAACGTACCGCCCATGGAAAAAGTTATGCCCAGTCATTTAGTTTTACAAGAAATATTAATTGTCGGTAATTGTTCGGACCAGGTACTTACTTTTTTTGTTTCATTATTCTCGGTAATCGTTTGTTTATGAGTTAACATGTTATTATCTCATTTTTTTTGTTCATTCAAGGTTAAATTTAGTGAATTAACATTAGACATGTTTCGTATGTTACAAGCATTGGAACGTGAACCACAAGAAGACGTCAATCAAATGCATGATACATCACCGGCACCTGGACGAATACCGAATGAAAATGGAATGGATTATCGGCAATTCAGACGTGAAAATCCACATAAATATCTACTATTCAAGCCAACATTTAGCCAATTTTTATTATTTTTATCGTCCGGTTTCAAAGAACTGCCTGCTAATGGTGTACTATTGATTTATCTTTCAGCCGATGGTTGTTTTATAAATTCCAAACAACCCGAAGATAGTAAGTTTGTTTTTGTTTTGTAGCATCATTAATTGATTGAAATGATAATTTTCTCATTTCCCGCCATAGTTGGTTATGATTTCGGTGGTGTTATCACAAACAGTAAACTACGAGATAATATGGATCCAAACATATTGAAACAACGAACCAGTAGTTCAATGGTGAAAGAGATACATTGCCTATATCCGGGTGATTTATATCCATTCGGCCGACGGCCATTATTCTTAATCGTTGATAGCGATAATAGTTCAGCATTTCAACATATACCAAGATATTTTGGCCAACCATTAGTGATATTAATGTCACCGGAAGAATATCCGGCACCATTTCATGATCAACAATGTAAAGGTTCATTGTTTACATTGTTTCTTCATTGTCCAATTACTGCCATTTGTTTTATTTCAAACATAATTACCTTACCGATCGTATTGTGGGAGAAAACACAACAAATTATTGATAGATTTTTCGCTGAAGCCGGAAGATTATTAGTACGATCACGATTAACCGATATGGCCTATATTCAATTCTATAGTGATGACTTTCTTCGGCTACAAATGTTACGATTCATATTCTGTTGTGTTGTCCTTCGTATGCATCGTCTTTTTCGGGTAAATCATTTTATGAAAACAGTAGTACCGTAATTATAATTTACTAATTTCCCATTGTTTTCAACAAATAGGTTCGACGAACATACATTCCTAAATCTCATCCACCAATTCCAGATAATGATATACTTGATGCACCAAGTTTACGACGCCTAATACTTGAAACATCCGTATTGTTGGACATACGCTCATTATTCACTGATAACGACGATGAATGAAATTCCATTCATTCAATCTTTATTGTTGTTTTTATTATTGTTGTGGTTTAATTGTCATTTTAAACCATTGTGTGTGTGTGTGCGTGCGTTTGATTTTATTGAAGAAAAATTCATAATTCAAACTTGAAATGTTTCGTCTATTATATTTTCGGCGAATCGATTATGGATGTTTGAATTAAATCGTGAGCTATATTTGGAAATATAGAAAGTAATGGAGAGAAAGAAAATCAAGATTCATTTCATCTCTTGAAACAAAATCAAACACGACAAAATTTGATGGTCAATCTAATCAATTGAATTCAATGAAAAATTTCCAGGTGTTTAATCATTGTCATTGAATAAAAACAAAGACAACAAAATTTATATTTAGCATTCATCATCATACAAAAAATATTTATTGAATTTGTTGAACAGTTATTAATTTTTTAGTCCTGAAAAATCACATTACATCCATTAGATTTCAACGGCAGTTTATAGAAAAATTCTTGTGCAACAAAAAAAAAACAACAACAAAAATTATCGATCAAAACTATATCGAAAAAAAATGTTATAGTCATTACATAAAAAGTGAATATTTGTTGGTTTTAAATTATAAAATAAATATATAATAATTGTGTGCCTCCTCCTCCTTCTCTGAACCATGGATTGAAACCCAATCACACCCAGCTATCATAAACACCGTTTCTTCGTTACACATTTGTTTCAAAAAAAATTAATCAATTCTGTTCAGTTCCAGAAATATTTTTTTTTTCGCCCTTCGCTTGTCAATGTTTGTCTCATCATCATTATTATTATTATGACAAAAGATGAACTGGATTTTTAATTAATTTTTTTTGTCTAAATTTAGTCCAAAATGTTTGAAATTTTTTTTTTTAGTTTAAATTAAATTATTTTTGCAATGATGAAAAATGTTTTCCAAACACACACAGAAAATCAATAAAATGCTTTCAAAACTAAAACAACAATGAAAGAAATGCGGTACTTTCTATACAACAAAGTAGGATCAATTTTATTTTATGAATTTTGTTTGTTTGTTTTCCAAGAAGAATTATTGTTTCTTATTACTATCATCAGTAGCACTGGTAAAACCAAATTCCGGTAGCTTAATATTTTTCATCAGATCAGGACCTGTATGGTTTTTTTAATTAATTGATTAAAAAAGAATAGAAAATCAATCATAAATGTTTGGTATATGTGGAAAAAATGGTTTGTCTTTTATACCTCCGTATTGATGGTATGTTTCGGAAATTTTGCTTTTAGCCAATTCAAAGCTAACTTCAGCATAATCACGAGCCATTTTAGGTTCACATGTTGCTGCTGCTGCACCGGCAGCAATCATAGCCATAAATGTACGACGGAAAAAACCACGACGTCCCAATAAATATCCAATGAATGCAGCCGATGTAATGAATGTAGCACGTACAGCTGCATTCTGTTCATCTCGAACTGTTTCGATTAATTCTAAGATTTTTTTTTGTACCCAATAACATGAAATGAATTTAAAAAAAATTCTAGTCAAATTTAGACAATATCATACCATATGTATGTGCTTTTGATGTGGCCATGATTTCACCGAAACGTTTAAAAGAATCGGCAAATTGTGGACCAATGAATGTTTCGATTTCTTTTCGAGCATCGCTCACATATGGTTCGAGAATGTTTGCCGGCTCTTCTTTCGGTGTTGATGCTCGTTTATTTTTACAACAAGATGTATAAATTGGCAACTTTATAGAAAAGAGAGACGAATATTAATATTGTGATTGAATATTTTCAAAGTTATTTATCTCTATCAATATACTTACATCAGTAATTTTAAACTTTTTATTATTATTATTTGGATTTGTTGATTCCATTTTGGATAAACAAAAAAAAAAAAAAATAACGAGGTTATTCTTATTGTTAGTTTAAAAAAAGCCCAATGTCAATATCGCACTGTACACAGATAACGTGTGGTAAAAATTTTAAATTCTTGTAATATAATAATTTTTGCAACTCTGATTTTATTCAATTAACTTTAAAAATTAAATCAAATTATTATTATTATTATCATTATGTTTCGTTCATGAACAACAAAAAGAAAATAAAATTTGTTTTGGAATAAAAGAAATTCGATGAATTTATTTATTTTCAATCTGTTTATTTTATTTTGTTTGTTCTGCCATTTCCCAGTTTTTTTTCGGTAAATATGTATGATTTGATTTGATTTTTTGTTTTGTTTTGTTTTTGGTTTCCTATCCATTTTGAAAGTAATCATCTTTTACATGTCATCATTTAAATCTCGTTTAACTTTACTAAAATCAAAATCTTCACCGGTACCACGACGGAATATGTCCAATACATCGGAACAAGTTGTCTCGAAATGTGATGTAGCATCGAATGATGTTGAAATGAAAACCTGATTTTCTTTGCCATCATCTTTGGGCTTGTAAAGATCGCTTACGGTTACAAATCTAGCAAGAAAGGAAAATTAAATAAAATTAAATATCACATTTTAATTAACCCATCATACTTTTGTTTGATCGGTCCCAATAATGTTAAACCAGGTAAAATTTCTGCTTCTGGATTATCAGTCTCAACAGTGGTACTGACTAAAGCAATGAACCAATTTTTAGATGCCACTTGATGAGTGTATGATACCAACGAAATGTAGATATCTATCATAAATGTTTCATTTCATTATTAATCATAATTTAACACTATTAATCCAAATATAATAATTACCTGATTTACGGCCAAGCTGTTTTTGTGGAATGATAATCTGACATGAAAGTGCATTATTAGTGTTTGGAATCGGATGATTCATCAAACATATACAACGGATAACTTGGCCAACTTTTTCCACACGATCAAGTACATATGATGGATCACAATAAACTTGTTTGCATTTGACCGTTTCGGTACCGGAACGAACACCAACAGTACGGCCATTTTCAAATACAAGTTCATCAACCGGTTTATCAAGCATATAAGTTCCACCATAGATAGCGCTAAGACGTGCAAATCCTTGTGGCAATTCACCTAATCCATACATTGGATAAAGATATGGACTTTTTCCATACATTGATAACGAATCGCTATACAATCGAACACGATTGATTAGATCCAGACAAGGTTCTTGAAGATAACTATGTTGGATAAAGATGAATTTGTTTTCTATAAATAACAATCATGTGGAATACAATAATACATACTCATCATCTCGATACAATGCCAATGCATGACCAGTGAAATCGGCGGTATCTTTTTCCAGTTTATAATATTGATACAATTCAGCCGCGGTAGTTTTATGTGGATCAATATTGCTCCATGATTTTGGATCATCAACATTAAAATTTTGGACGAATAACAAAAAGCTACGGAAACGACGTTTCTCGAACATACCCATCAAACCTATGATTACACAATAATATAATAGTAATGATAATTATATATAAAACAAAAAATGATTGATAAATATTTACTTGAAGATAGTGCTTCTTTTTCATCAGCTGGTACTTTATAGATTTTTCCACCTTTATAAACATAACTACCTTCAATTGACTTAAATTCAAGATATCTTGTAACGCCAGTGTGAAGTAAAAGTTTAACCAATTGTCCTATGCAAGTTTTGAAAAAAAGGATAAGGCAAATTAAAATTAAAAGATAAAAAAACAAAAGAACCGCCCATACCATTGGCCATTAAAAACTTTGGAATTAGGTCAACATTCCAATCTCTTGAACGGCCATATTCTTCCATGGGAATGTTGTTTGCAACATCGAAACCAAATTTAGTGAATAAATCTTCCATTGGTGTGATTGATGCACTTTCACCACCATAATATTTATTACGATCAATATGTAAAACTTTTTTACCCGATACAGATAGCATACCGGATAGGATACATTCCTGTTATTCAAAACGAAAAAGAAAAACAGTGAACAATGCATAGATAAATCTTGATGTATAGACAAAACACACATCACTATAAACATACCTTTAGGCCAGTGCCCAATACGATAGCATCATATTCTTCATCCATTCTCTTTACAAATATATGTGTGTTTTATTCTATTTTAATTGATATAATTGGAAAATGTTTTTTGTTTATCGAAAAATTCTGGTCCTACGAAGAATAAGAAAAAACTATAATATTGGTGTGTCCCTAAAATTTGATAAACAAATGTATATGAACGGGGGTGGATAGTGAAAATTTAGTGGAAATGACAAAAGACTAAAATATCAAAATATGTGGATTTTTATAAATTGACAAGTTGTTGATGTGAAAATCATCAATGATGATGATATGATAATTTTAGAAAAAAGAGAACCTGGCTTGTTTGTTGTCCACGAACACACACACAGAGAGAGAGAGAGAGAGAGGAAGAAAGTGGGAGTGATGAAGTAGAGGAATATTTTGATGACAAAAAAAAAGCTAAACCAGTCAGCACACAGTGTCGGCGACATTAAAAATACCAGCAGCAGCGCCACTACACTTTCTACAGTTTTTAATATTTACAAGTGGTTCTCAAATTTTTCTCATTCGTGTGTGTGTGTTTGATTCTGTATTCCCTGTATATGTGGATTCTGCTTGATTTTGATATCTGAAGAATTTGAGAATCAATAAATTGTTTGGATGCAGAAAAAAACTGGCAGTCTGTCTGTAATTGTGTGTGATGGTAGTAGTTGCTCATTCATGCAAAAGTTCATTGTTGGTTTGTTGGCAAGGTTACAACTGCTGCTATATATATGAAAAAAAACTGAATGGATGAGTGATCACAACGAGGATGGATGATGAGGAGGAGGGGGAGGAAGGATTATTATGGAATTTTTTTGATTTTAATACCCTTAATAATAAATTAGCCACACGTAATCTATAATTACAAAAAAATGGATTAAAAAGTTTAAAAAACTTTGATGATGATTTTTTTTCTTGAGATGAATTTTTATTATTTGACAATTTCTAAATTTTAGAATTGAATGCCAATGCATTCATTTATTCAGCGCATTCTCTGATTTTTTCAAATTTTTTTTTTGCTACCAATTTTATTGTTTTTTTTTGATAAAACATTTTTTTCTAAATGGATAAATTGATTTTTTCGGCTGAGAAAAAAAATGCAAAAAATAATTTCAGTTACGTCCTATATGAATGGGACGATTATGAGTGTTTTGTTGTTTGGTTTCCCTCCACAATTGTCAATTCAATTCGAAAATTTTTGTCTTAAGGCTGAAAAACAAAGATTTTTTTTGGTTCTGTTTTATACATCATTTATTTGTTTTCGTTTTAATCAATATTTGAATTTGAATAAAAATTTTTAATCATGCCTCGTGGACGACCACGGATAAGCCGTGATGGTGAACCAAATTATTCTTCAAGTTTTAATTCTGATGAAAATATAACAGATTATGTACCAGATGCTTCCATCACAAATGATGATTCAAATGATACTTATGACGATGATTTTCGTACACGAAAGCCACGAGGTAGACCTCGTGGTCGACCAAGGGGACGACCATCAGGTGGTGGCCGTACATCGACTAACCGTCAAGATTTGGATCAATTGAATACGAGTCGACCAAGTTTAGAAGAATCCGATAGTATTTATGAAACTGTACGACAAGGCCGTTCTGTTCTCCAATCTGTCGTCGATGAATGGATCGAAATCTATCGACAAGATCGTGAAAATGGTATCATACATTTGATGCAGTTTTTTATTCGATCATCCGGTTGCAAAGGAAAAATTACAACACAAATGCGACAAGCATATGATAATGCTCAGATTATTCGTGCTCTGGTGGATGAATTCGATGAAGAAACGGGTGATTATCCACTAATTATGAATGGACCTCAATGGAAAAAATTTCGCTCCAATTTCTGTGAATTTATTCACACGCTGATTCGACAATGTCAGTATTCGATTATTTATGATCAATTTTTAATGGAAAATCTTATATCATTATTGATCGGATTGTCCGATTCGCAAGTACGAGCTTTTCGTCATACAGCGACACTGGGCTCGATGAAATTGATGACAGCATTGGTTGATGTTGCCCTTACGTTAAGTATCAATTTGGACAATACCCAACGACAATATGATGCTGAACGACAGAAAAACGCCAACATGAATAAACGCTCAAGTGAACGATTAGATATGTTGATGAGTAAACGTAAAGAATTGGATGATAATAATGAAGATATCAAAACAATGCTTGGCTATCTATTCAAATCAATCTTTGTTCATCGTTATCGTGATACATTCCCGGAAATACGTTCAATTTGTATGTATGAAATCGGTATCTGGATGAAACGTTTGCCTGGAATATTTCTGGATGATTCCTACCTGAAATATGTTGGCTGGACATTACATGATAAGGTTGGTGATGTACGATTAAAATGTCTCAATTCTTTGCTACCATTGTATGAAAGTGAAGAGATCTCAAGAAAAATGGAATTATTTACGAATAAATTCAAAGATCGTATCGTATCAATGACGTTGGATAAAGAACCAGAAGTAGCCGTTATGGCTGTAAAATTGGTCATCAACATTCATAAACATCATCCTGATGTCTTGAGCGATAAAGATTGTGAACATGTCTATGAATTGGTATATGCAACAAATCGTGCAGTTGCACAAGCTGCTGGTGAATTTCTGAATGAACGATTATTTCAAGTGGATGAAAATGCAACGGCTAATTTGCGAACACGTCGTGGTAAAAAACGTTCCATACATACATTATTGATACGAGATCTGATACAATTCTACATTGAAAGTGAACTTCATGAACATGGAGCATATTTAGGCGATAGTCTAATTGAAAGTCATCCGATGATGAAGGATTGGGAATGTATGACCGATTTGATGATTGAAGAACCTGGACCTGAAGAAGAAGCTCTCGATGATCGCCAAGAAACATCATTGATTGAAATTATGGTCTGTGCCATTAAACAAGCATCCACTTGTGATTCACCGGTTGGCCGTGGACCACAACGAAAACAATTGACCTCAAAAGAACAGAAAACATTGCACGAAGATCGAATGAAAATATCCGAACATTTTATTCAAGTGTTGCCAATGTTATTGAATAAATATAAAACCGATCCGGAAAAAGTTGCCAATTTGTTGACCATACCACAATATCTTGATCTAAACGTTTTCTCCAAACAAAAAGATCAGCTCGAAAATCTTCTCCGATTGATCAATGAAATTGTCGACATTCATTCGGACAAAGAAGTGTTGGAAGTGGCAGCCAAAACATTTGAATATCTTTATGATGAAAATTTTTCCTTCAGTAAAAATGTCAATATTTATAAAGGCACATTGATCGATACGATTTGCACGAAATATAAAGACGCTATTGAACGTTATAATCAAAATCCATCTGGGGATGAAGAAAAATTGATGGTAAATTTACAGCTGAAAAAAATATCCGTTCTTTATGCTTGCCATGATTTGACCGGTTGGAATTTGTGGGATGATATTTTTGAACGTTGGATCAAAACGGCCAATCATGAAGGCGAATATATTCCGATTATGGCCGTAAAATTTTCCATCATATCATGCCATATGAGTCTTGTATGGGAATTACATCATCTTTCACAATCACGACAGGCAGTTGATCGTGCATTGATTGTCAAGAATAAATTGAATAATTTTATGCATGAAATTCGTTCACTATTGAATCATAATAGTTCAGATCTTGAAGAAGAGGTATGTTTCGATATTCTATATATGTGATATGTGATGTTGAATTTTTTTTTCTCAAAAATTTTTGTTCACTCTATTTCTTCATAGGCTTATGTATCGATATGCGATCTATTGGTCATATTTAGCCGTCATTTGGAACAGGAATCACCGGCTACCGCACATCTTGTATACAAACCGGATGTATTGCTTATCAAACAGCTTGAAAATTTCATTGCAACCAGAGTGTTTGTCGATAATGATGAAGGTAAAATTAATTATTTTTTTCATAAAATTGATTAATAATTGATTGTTTTGAATATCCAAAAACAGAATCATCCTTGAATGCAAGAAAATCCAACATTGAAATTCTACATAAACGTCGTCATTTTTTAGCAGGCTATTGTAAGCTAATCGTTTATAATGTTATACCGATTAAACATGCTGCCTGTGTAATTAAACATTATGTCAAGGTTAGTGGAAAACAAAACCAATGTGCTGATATGATTTAATTAATCCAATTGATTTTATCATAGTTTTACAATGATTATGGCGATATCATCAAACATACATTGGGAAAAATCCGTGAGATTAATAAAGTTTTATGCGCAAAAACAATGGCTGCAGCATTAATATCCGTATTCATGGATCTCCGTAGCGAATGTTCAAACAATATCAATGCATTCACTAAACAAGATGAAAATTTTCAATCACTGAAAGAATTAGCTAAACGATTTGCTTTATCATTCGGTTTGGATAATATGAAAAATCGAGATGCTATTGCGGCATTACATCGTGAAGGAATACATTTTACATTCAATACATTGGAAAATCCGGAAAATCCATTGGGACCACCACCGAATCTGCCATTCTTGGAGATAATCATTGAATTTTCCAATAAATTAATCAAGATTGATAAAAAGACAGTGTAAGTTTAGGATTTTTCAATTTTGGTTTGTTTGTTTGTTTCATTTTTTCCATCTCATTAGACTTTCCTATCTGGATCGTTATATAAAAACAGCATTGCCCGGTGTTCATAATGATGAATGGCAACCATTGATTAGTTATCGTGCTAGTTTACAACACAATGAATTTGAGGTACCATTAAATCGACAACCAGGACGGCAATATAAACCGAAAAAACATGGCCGTGATGAAGATGGTAATTGAAGAGAAAAATTGCTTAATTTGCAATTTATAATCATACTTTTTTCCCATTATCTTCATATTCAAATTATTATAGGTGAAGAAATGGAAGGCGAAGATGACGAACAAGAGGATGTGGAAATGGCTGAATAAAAATAATCAGCAGTAAAAATATATGATCAAGTTTTTTTTTCAATTCATTATTTCATAATCATCATCATTAATCATTAAATTATATGGTTTATAGCAAAATAAACATTTTACATTCAGGTTCACAATTTTTAATTTGAATAATAATAAACGGTATTCGATATTCGATTCATCATCATTTTTGTGTTAGTCACATTCATATTTATCTAAATAAAATTTTTTTTGCGTGTAAGATGTATCAACATGTTATGTAAAATTGGAATGATTTTGGTACCGTTTTTGTTGTTTTGTTTCATAAATAGATCATTGATTTTCATTATTGGCAACTTTGGTGGTGGTGGTGTGTATTATGGATGTTTTATTTTTTTTTTTTTTTGGAAAAATTTCATTTTATAACGTTGTTGTTGTTCATCCCATTCGAATACTTTGAATGATTTGCAATAGGGCCGAACCACAAACGACAAATATGAACAATGCTAATAGCCATGGTCCAACTGGATATTTTTCATCCGATGCCTATTTTATAAATCATAATTTAAAAAGTATTGAGTTCAAGAAAAATCAAAAAATCAATCATTTGATACTGACCGCTGATTTGGGTACATTGCCACGAAGCACAACATTTTTCGATGCCTTTTCATTGGCCAAACGCATTCGTTGTGATTTTACCATTTTCTTCAACAATGAAAAAAAAATTCTTCAAATGAAAACAAAAGATAAAAATCTGCCACGTGTATAAGAAAAGCACTACTTTTCAACTTGAATGAATATGTTGTTCGTGTAGAGGCGCGATTGAATAAAAGAAGGGTGTGATGTAATCGCAAATTTTCAAAAGAAGAGAAAGTTGATCAACGCTTTAATAACAAAAATAAAATTACAACGCAAAAAAATAGAAATTTTTTGTCCGGTTTAAGTGGAAAAATCTCGATTACGAACTCAGCGTTACTTTTTATATCGTTTATATATAAACACCAGATCGATCGATAAAGAGACTGCCAACTCGACTGGTTCGTATTACGTCGACTCAACAACTATTTATCAAAATTAACCTGATATATACATACATATAGCGTCATCTGGTGTCGATAATTTATGATTCAGTTTCTATTTTTATTCAATTTTTTTTTCTAATAATTACCGGCAATCGATAATTGGTTAATTGGATCTGATACTTAACCATGTGAATCATCACAAGATTAATATAACTCTAGTAATGGTCTTGTGACAAATAAATTTTTTAACAAAAATTTTTTAAATCTAATTTTACATGATAAAATATATTAAATTTGATTAAGATTCAAAATAAAAAAATTCAACTTTCCAAACTATATAATAAAGAAATGTCATCTCTGTTTATATTGTTGTCATTCGATATATATATGTATATGTTATATTTTGATAGGGCCTATTGCAATAAATTTTTTTCTGTTTTCTGCTTATGACACGCCATCATAATCACATCACACGATAAAAGCAAGCAGCCAATTTTTAGATACAGCAAATCATGATTTGATTTTTCGGCTACACACATTATACTATGTTGCTACTATGGTGGTTTCATTCATAAACATCGTTACCGATGATGATGATAGAAAAATATACCGCTTCGCCTGGCTAAACAATTAATTCTAAAATGGAATGATGCACATTTGGTTGGGAGTGATATATTTGTTGTGTTTGTGTGTGTGTGTGTGTGTGTATATAATGGTAAACGGCATACGTTTTTTCTACAGAACAAACAAACAAACAAAAAAAATTCTCAATCATCATTTTCTGGTCATAGAATGTGAATCCATGCCATCATCATTGCATACAAATGAAGCCGCTTTTTCCCGTTTTATGCTGTGTGAAAAAAAATCGCTTTTCCTATTGATGTGCGTGTTATGTGTGAATCATTGTATCGTTTTGAATATTCGATTTTTCGAATTAAAAAATAATCAAATCCATCCATTAAATCAAATTCGTTTGAAAGAATTATAAAGACAAAAAATTCGCATACATTCAAATCATTTTCCTGTTTTTTAACAAGTTAATCCTAGTCATCGTTCTTAATTTTTTTTGTGTACAGTCAAAAGTTTTTAATTTTTATTCTGTTATTATTTAAAATTGTTTTAAATAAACATCAACACCAAATTATTTGTTCCAAATGGGAAAAAAATACATTTCCTGTTTGATTCTATCATTACTATTAACAATTACATATCAGAATTTTTGTTATGGACAAGAGCATGATGAAACGGTAACTTCAGATTCAGATGATGATGGATCATCTGAACAACAACAACATATTGATTATGTAACACCGCAAATTGATGAACAATACTTATATGAATCATTTGATGATGAACAAAAATTTCAATTACGTTGGCATAAATCGACTGCACATAAAGCCGATTCATCTGATCTTAAATATGATGGTGAATGGGGCCTAGTACAGACACAGGATCGTCTTAAAGGTAAATAATAATATTCAAAGTATTCTTATCGTAATTTTGTTTCTTTTGCTGTTCGAAATCGATGCAAAATAAATAATTCAGATACAATGATTTAGTTTGTTGTCGTTTAACAACTAAAAATAGTGTCACATACATAGACATTTTTTTGTTTTGATTTTTTGGCTGTGTTCCCGATATATGAAACAAATTCAAATTATTATGTACGATGTATTTTTTCTTTATAATAGATGATTTAGCCCTTATAACCAAAAGTAAGACCCGTCATCATGCATATGCGGCAAAATTGGATAAAATTTATAAATTCAACTCGAAACCATTCATTTTGCAATATGAGGTTTGTATTGAATTGCATTGAATTGAATTTTAGAAATGAATCGAAATTTGTCTACTAAGGCTCAATTCCGAAATGGACAAGAATGTGGTGGTGCCTATCTAAAACTATTGGCCGTACCATCAGGTGATCTACAGAATTTGAATGATAAATCCAAATATTCAATAATGTTTGGCCCGGATAAGTGTGGTAATGAGAATAAGTTGCATTTTATTTTCAACCATAAAAATCCCAAAAATGGTACTGTTACGGAGAAACATTGGACAAAAGCAAATAGTGTGACTAATTTGGATGAGGTTAGTTGAGTTTAATTAATGATTTTCAATTTTAAGAATATTCTTTTTTTTGTAGGTTTTCAAAGATAATCGTTGGCACCAATTTCGTTTAGAAATTTATCCGGATAATACCTTTCAAGTTTCAGTTGATAAACATTATGCTCAAAAAGGTTCCTTACTTGAAGATTTTAAACCACCTGTAAATCCACCCAAAACTATTGATGATCCGAATGATTCGAAACCAGAAGATTGGGATGAACGTGAAAAAATTCCGGATCCAGATGCAGGTAAATGTTGTTTACTTTTATTATTGAATTTCTGATTATTTTTTTTTGTTTTAGTAAAACCTGACGATTGGGATGAAAGTCAACCAAGAAAAATTGCTGATCCAAATGCAGTCAAACCGGATAATTGGGATGAAAATGAACCAGAAATGATAGCCGATCCTGATGCAAAAAAACCTGATGATTGGGATCAAGAAATGGATGGTGATTGGGAAGCACCATTAATACCGAATCCAAAATGTTCATCATTAGCCGGTTGTGGTAAATGGTCAGCACCATTAATTGATAATCCTAAATATAAAGGCAAGTGGAAGGCACCATTGATTGCCAATCCTGCCTATAAAGGAAAATGGGTGCCTAGAAAAATACCAAATCCAGATTTCTATGAAGATCTTAATCCATTCAAAACAATGGCTCCTATCGATGCTGGTAATTATTACATTTGGAGAATATTGAAGGTGAAGTTTTTCTAAAAAAATTTTCGTTTTTTATAGTTGCATTTGAATTATGGACAATTTCGGACAATATTGCCTTCGATAATATATTAGTAACCGATGATTTAGACACAACCAACTATGTATCATCATTAACGTATCAGATTAAAAAAGAGATTAGCGATGAAGCAACCGATAATCTGGTGGTAAAAGCAATGAAATATGCCAATAAAAATCCATGGATGTGGGCTGTTTATCTATTTGTCATTGGTATACCCTTGGTATTATTCATTGCATTCTGTTGTGTGTCACCTGTGAAAAAACCCTCAGATACCCCAGCTTCTAGCCAACAAGATTATGATCCAGCATATAGTAAAAAAACTGATCATCCACAACCGGATTATATACCACCACCAGAAGATGAGGTAAGATGATAAATTTTTAATATTTTATTTGAAAAATAATTTTCAAAATCCTGACTATAGCCTGAACAACAAGCTACAACTTCGATCAATAAAATAGATGAAGAAGAAGAAGAAGAAGAATTGGAAGAAGATGATGTTGAGGAACAAAAACAAGATGAAGAGGAAGAAGAAATTGAAGAAGATGAGGAAGAAGATGAACCAGAACCGGAGCCTGAAATTAAATTACGTTCATCACCACGACAACGACGACCACGTAAAGAATGAATGTTGAGCGTGTTGAATAGTAGCAACAGGAAAAGAGATGGAGATGGAATAAAGAATAAAACCATTTTTCACACCCATAAAACAATAACAACAGTGAGTGATTCTCGAATTATTATTTCATCTCATTCACTTGGTGTCACACTTTATACAAACTTCATTTTTCATATATATTTCAGTGACTTGATCTTTTTTTCCGTTTTATTTTATCATCTCTCTTTCTCAGTCTTTGTCTTCGAATATTACTCTTTTAGTATTTTACAATAAAAAATAAAATTTTTTAATGATGATTATGATGATGATGATTGATTGTGAAATGAAACCAATTTCAAATGATGATTGATTGTTGATATTCATAGCTTGATTTACCATCCTTGTGTCTGAAAATTTCGATTGACATTACGTTTAGATCCGAATAATTTACGTCGATATAATTCAATGATTGGCCATAATTTTTCAATTTCTTTCTGATTCGCCATTCGTATCATGTTATGATTGTTATTTTGATTTGATTGGTCATTTGTTTGGATATGTGATGCTAGTTGTGATAATGATAACCTTAAAATCAATTGCAAATTAATTGTTTGAATTTTTCAAGTTTACAAAAAAAAATTAACAAATTTTATACCTTTTCATGCATTCATCTTCATTATCATTGTTGCCATTATTCATACAATCAAGTTGTTCACTATAATGGCCAATGGCCAATAGATTCAAAACGATAAACAGCAATTTTGTTCGAAACATAATTCGTTTATATGGTCGTGTAATCACAATTGTTAATCGACAATAGACAAAATGAACATCAATTAGTCGTCTATTTATACCTTTTGTGTGCGTTTCGATGTTTGTTTCGACAACGGAAGTTTAGTTTGTCAATGTCAAATTTTATTTCCAACAATATTTTTCAATGTTTATTTTAGCATCGTATGCATCAACAATAAAATCTATTCTTAGATTACCGTTAGATAATGTATGTTGTTTTTGCAACATTGATCTTGATGGCAATAAACCAATATTCGATATTCGATTCGATTAATAATGTAAAAACTCATCATTTAAACATATTATGTAAACAATTTGTTGATACTATCTCATTATTTTATAAGAAATGATGAACAGATGTCCAATTTATGGTCAGAGAATAAAACGCCGCCGTTTTCGTTTTCGTTTCGTTTTTTTTTTTCGTCGTCTGGGCTGACAATTCAAGTCTGTTTGTTGATTGTGGCTATATAATACGATATTCGAATATTGAACCATTCTTTGGATCGTTCTACAATGATTGCGCAGAACCCGATCGAGTTCATTTCGTCGAGAGAACATTATTATTATATATCGCCCGACCGAGAGAATCAATCAACCATTCGAAAATCTCAAGAAAATAATAGAATGAATGAATAACTTCGAACACATCGAGCCAACTGAAATATTTGTCAATTATAAACCATGAAATTGTCTATCCATCAATGTCAATAAAAAACAAACAAATGGATCCCGATCACTTTCATCACTAATTGCCATCATATGTTGTTATCAAATCATTTGAATTATTGATCAAATTGCAAGCTTCCAAACAAATAAAATCAAATAATCGTCTATACAAAAATGCGAATATTACAATGCCAGCTTCGTGGAAATTTACTTTTCCTATTATTCCTGTCCATCTCGGTTTTAATTCCAATCATCCGATGCTATGAAAAAACGTAACTATCATTGTCATTGTTTTCGCAAATGAGTTTTTTTGTGTTTAATTTTTTTTACAACAGCATCCAAGATATTGCCAAAAAATTTGGACTCCAAATGCTTAACATTGGCTATGAGAAAACTTGTTTCTCCAAAATAAGCGAGGTATTGTGTTTATCAGTATTTTTTTTGTATTTGTATTTATATGAAAAACCAACAGAATTTCCAGAAACATCGTTCCGAAGTTAAACAGATTGATGCATCCAAATTAATGAATGATATGCGACAAGAATTAATCAATATGTTCAGTTTGAAACAAGAAGCAGCCGAACGTATTGCAATTGAGACGGAAAAATTGGCCGAAAAATATGCCTATCGTAAGAAATTTATTTTAAATGATTCGCGTTTCTATAATCAATTTTTGTGGCTGATTATCTAGATAAAAATGGCGACACTGTTGTTAATTATTATAATGTTAAACGAATCTATGATGATCGTTATGGTGAACCAAATGTACCAGATCTATACAATTATCAATCACTAGCCTTAAGTCATCATCCTAATTTTGAAGATTCAAAAGTCAATCTTCAACATAGCGCCATTCATGTGCCTATAAATGTTTATGAAGTAAGTCAAGTCAAGTCTTTTGTCGTTTCCTATTCAATCAAATTTGAAAATTCAAATTCATTAGCAAGCTTCCGATATACAAAACGATATAAAATGGACCGAAACATTGGCAGAAACTTTTATCAATAATCTTGCTTATGATTCATCACTTTCATGGCAGTTTTTCTGCTCAAGCAAAGGATTTCTACGTGAATATCCGGGTAATAACAATGGATATGACTTTAATTTCACTCATTTTAATTTCATCATTAAGCATTTCAATGGAAACTTGCCGGTGATTCGACAACGAAAACACCCGACCTCTATGATTGTCGTATGCGACAATGGTATATACAAGCTGCAGCATCACCAAAAGATATTGTGATTCTATTAGACACTAGTGGATCGATGACTGGTCTACGAAAAAATATTGCACAAAATGTTGTATTCAATATTCTCGACACACTTACCGAAGATGATTTTGTCCAGGTTTTAAAGGTGTGTTTGGTTTATAATAGAAATTTTACAATTTTAAATTTCATCTCATCATACATACATACATTATAGTTCACAAACGAAATAAAATATGTCAACAAATGTTTTGATCGAATGGTTCAGGCTACCAAACGAAATATTCGGGTAAGCAAGAAAAAAATATGGATTCAAACATTTGAATGCAACTTTTCTCTAAACAAGGAAATTAAAAATCAATTGGAAGGTTTCAAAACTTCCGATATAGCCAATTTTACATTGGGTTTCATTGAAGCCTTTAAAGTGCTTAATAATGTAAGATTTTTATGTGGAAATTTCTTTTTTCAATCTAATAATTTTTCTGTTGCTTTACAAAGTTTGAAAAACAAAAGAAAGGTGCTCAATGTAATCAGGCCGTTATGTTGATAACGGATGGTGCACCAGAAACATATGAACATATTTTCCTCAAATACAACCATAATGCTAAAATTCGTGTATTCACTTATGTGATTGGCCGTGAAGTTACACAGATACAGGAAGTATATTGGATGGCCTGTAATAATCGTGGATTTTATGCTCAAGTCGCAAATCTAGCCGAAGTTAGGGAACAGGTTCAACAATATATACCGGTCATGAGTCGACCATTAGTATTATCAGCTCAACGATTTTTTACATGGACACCCGTTTATGCACCAGTTTCGGTAATTAATCAATAAGAAAAATTCAAATTCAAATAAAAATTAAATTTGATTTTCTCTACATGACAGGAAATTCAATTAACCGATTGGATATGGGAAGAACGAGGTAACTTTGAAAATGCGAAGTTAGTTTTTTCAATAATTAATTTTTCCACACACACACACAAACACAGTAAAAGCAGTGAAAATGAAATTCCTCAAACAAATGCAACAACAACCGATACCGATACTTGAAGAAGAAGATGATGAAGAGAAAAAAGTGAATGAAACTTATGTTACCGAAGTGATTGTCGATGAAGATCTTCCGTTATCAGCGGCAGCAGCATCACATTTACAGCAAACAGCTAATAGCATCATGAATAATGTTGATATTCTTCGCCAAAGACGTTCGAATATTGAACATGAAATGGCAAAATTACCTGAAAGAAAAAAGGTTTATTGTTGATTGGTTTGATTGTATAATTGAATTTCATTAATGTAAATTATATAGAAAATACCATTACGAGTAACATTATCGACACCTGTTTTCAATCATCGTAAATATATAGTAAGTTTGGTGTATGTTTTTCTCTTCAATATTGCTCATTATTTATTATTCCATTAGAATATTACACGAAAAATTTTGGTCAAAAATGTTTACAAAGATTCTGATCCTGAATCGGTATTTAATTTTGATGCATTTTTGATATAAATTTCTATAATCTATTCGGTTAGATACGAATCGCTCAATTACATGGCGTAGCCGGTATCGATGTTCCCATACGTGAAATTGAAAAAGCTGCTTCTTCTTATCAGGTATTTGGATTTTTTTTTCTCTTGTTGATTAAAAAAATTTTTTTTGTAAAAAGTTAGGAGTAAATGGATATTCTTTTATGCTGACCAACAATGGTAAAGTGCTTTATCATCCTGATTTCCGACCAATCGTATGTGATTTTACAAGACCACCATGTTTAATACTAATATATTTAATATTTCACAGTTCCAAGACATGCTGAAACCATATTATACATCAATTGATTTAAACGAAGTGGAAATTTCCAATGAAACATTCAAATCACGAGTAATAATACAATATTATGATTTTCACAAGCTTATCATTATTTATTTCGAATATTTATCATAGTGGGTGGATCCGATCATAAATACTGTCCGCAATGAAATGATTGATGAAAAGATAGGCCATCAAAAAATATTCATCAAAACACATCTGGATTTTATGGTGAGATTCGCTTATTTTTTGAATATAATTGATGTTTTTTTTTGTATTACAGAAACGACCAGTTTTCAAGTTGCAACATTATTTCTATGGAAAAATCGATAATACACCATTTAGTTTTGCAATTGTTTTGCCAGAACCATATGGCTCTTATCGATTTAAAGGTCAAGTGGATTTGAAAAGTGAATCAAAACGAGAAAATTTCACACGATTTTTTGAGGGAAATAATTGGCGTATTCATCCGGATTGGATTTATTGCGAAAGTCCTCATAAATTATCCGGAATTGTGCCTAGAACACCAGAAGATGCTATACTACAATTTCTCAATTATGATTTGGCCACTAATTCGTTCGTATGGAAAACATCGATGCCAATACCACGACGTTATGATAATGTTACATGTGAGGCATCTATTTTAAATCGATTAACTAAGGTCTAGAATTTCTTATTTCTAGGTGACAAGGATCTTATTCAAAGTTTAATATTCGATGCAAAAATGACACATACATTCGAAGAATGTAGTAAATTCAGCCTTCAATTCAATCAACAAGAGTAAGTATAAATCTGAAAAGATGCTTGATTTGTGATTGGTGATGGTCAATACTATTTTTATTTCAGTCAAAAAACCATCGATATTGCCAGTGCATTCGTATCGACAAGAAGTGGAATGACAAGATTCAAAACAGTCGATGACAATGATATTGATAATAAGACAGATAATGATTTATTCTCTCGATCAATCGATGAAGTTTATTATCGTAGAGCGGTCGATTTCTATTATAATGATAGTAAAGCATTCGTATATTCGATACCGTTTGAAGCCGGCTATAAAGAGCCGAATTTTCTTGTTACTTCCAGTCATGCTATATTCGTTGGTAGCGGAAAAATGAGTGCACCAGGTATGATTTTTTTTTCTGTTCAAATCGAACATTAAATAATTCTGATTTTTAATTTTCGAAACAGTGGCTGTTGTCGGTGTCCAATATAATTATTCATCATTTTATTCAACATTTTTCAAAATTGCCGATCATTATAAATTGAATTGTCTTTCGGATGAAATCAATTGTTTTGTATTGGATAATAATGGCTTTGTTATTGTCAGTGACATTTATCAACATGCTGGCCTTTTCCTGGGTGAAATTAATGATGATCTATTTGAGAATATGGTTCATGAACAAATCTATCGTCGAACTAAACTATATGATTATCAAGCAATCTGTATTCGGATAACACCGTTTTGGACATCGGCTTCAAATTGGCTACAAACACCGTGGAATCATGCTAAACAAATTTTTTCGTGGCTTGCAACAAACATCATTACTTATTTAACATTATTATTCAACAATTATTCATTGGCTCTAAATGACGACATGGCCATGAGTATGGAGGAAACGGATTATGAAAGTAAGTCTAAATCTGATTACGATGAATTCAGTATCATAATTTATTTATTTCTGATTTTTGATTTGCTCAACATACAGCTGATTCATTCGACATAAAATTCAACAAAAGTAATCCAAAACCATGCGATAAAGAATTCAATCTATATGAATTGATTAGCTTTAGTAATCAAACACGTAAATATTCCTATACATGTGAACCCGGTATCTGTACAAGGTAATTAGTGTATGATTCATCATTCATCGAATGATTATTATTAATGATGATTTTTTTCATATATTCTATAAATAGGACATATTATGTGCAAAATATTCCACATTCAAATCTTATCCTATTGGTACTATTAAAAACATGTCATTGTTTTGAAAATTCAGCCCGTTTTGAACCGAAAGAATGTGAATTAACAGAAGATGAAGCATGTGAAATGTCACGTGCGGAAAAGTTTCGTAAAGGTCCAGATGTATGTCACAAAGAACATGAACAGGTATGATCAAATGTTTGCCTCTTTTTTTCACTGTTATCATTTTATTAATAGGAAGAAGAAATTAAATATTGTGGCAAAGCAATAATGCTACAGCAATCATTCCCATTGATTTTATTATTGGTTTCCGCACTACTTTACACACATTTAATATGGCAAGAATTGTTGTTTTGATCATCATCACTTGTATTTATTTTGATTTAATTCAGGTGTGATTTTTTTTTGTTTTAATTGTGTGATTTATTAATAATTATAATGATAATTAATATATATTAAAATATACAATTTATTTCTCGCGTCTTTCGTCAAGATGTGTTGGTAAATGATGAAGACATCGTATTTTTATCGTGTTTTAAATTTGTCTCGAGTTTGATTCTACCATTTCCAGCAACTTATCATCGTCAATCTCTTGAGGTCGGCCAGATCTGGAAAAAGAAGCGTTGAACATGATACGAACAGGAGAAGATGTTGATTCGGAACGAAAAACAGCATGATGTGGAATAAAGTAACCATCAATATCATTTACTTCCACAGCTTGACCGGAAGAAACATATTTCATAAATTCGGCACGATATAATTCATAAGAATTTTGATCATGTAAACGATTAACCAATTTGTTTAGTAACGATAGAGCTTCTGAATAATTTGATGGAGGACGAATATCAGATATTCCCATTTGAGTGATTTCAATGGATCAATTTTTGTTATTCGTAGGAGCATATAAGATAAGATAAGATAAGATATAATAATAAGATCACAATGAGGAAGATTAGGAATCACATTAGCATCAATTGAAAATTGAATAACATCAGACTCAAGAACAACAGAGATTTTCTTATTTGACATGGTAACCGAGCCACCAGAGAAACCAGATAAACATATCGGTGGAGCAGAAACACAATCGTTTAAATTAACTAAATTATTTCGGATTAACGTAAAAGGCGAACATGTATCGATTCAGACCATGCATTTACGACCACTGAAATTAATAATGAATGCCGGACAACAGTAACAATAAATTATAAGACATCTACTAAATTAATTATATCAACAAATCAACAATTATTGTTTTTTAAAAAAATTTTATAATCACACGTTTTTGTTGTTCGAATATTAGTGCGGAAATCGGAAATGAAAAACATGATTGGCATAAATGAAATATGTAAACAGAGAATGCGCTTGAACCTTGCGGTACACAGATGACATGATGAGAGGGGAATAAATTCTGATTAAACGATGATAAAATCAATGAGTCGCTAAACGTGTACACTGAATTAGTCGATTGTGTTCAGCAAGTCATTACCGGTATATTACAATATGTATTAAACTCAACACAAGACTGCTTCCATTTGCAAAGCAAATAAATTATGCTGAAACTGGAAAATTGTTTCGATTGTGGAACCACTAATTTTCCTAAATAAATTGTGGTCCTTCAAATGAGATAATGAATTGGCAAATAATTTGTCAATTCATTGTCTCATTTGAAAAATAAACTATTAAGATTAAGATAAAAAACGGCCATCAGATGAAACAACTTGGTTTTTTTTTATTTCAATATAAACATAGAAGCTCGAAGTGACCAAATCAAATGTCAACATCAACATTATTACTTTAAACTGGAGGCTTTAGCCCAAACATATGTATAATATATTTATAATGCACTTTCATCGAATCGATGACATTTTAATGGTGGTGTAACAAATCGTACTTGCGGTAGGCTTCCATGTATTGTTGATGATTTTAGCTGATAAATCATTTGATCGGTTCGATTGGTCGTATGATGACATAGTTTTGGTTCCGAATGACTATTTGACATTAGACAATTTGTCTCTTCGATATTTGAAATTAGATTCAATGAATTTTCATCACTCGATTCATTGAATGAAATCAATTCTGGTTGAGCTACTGATGCTTTTTCTCTTATTGTTATTGTAGTGGTTGCTGTCGTTGTCGTTGGCGTCAGTGTAGGTGTTGTTCGATTTTCATCGTGATCAAAAATCGGTGTTGTCGGTTTTGTTGTTGGATTTTCAATGTTTTTCAATGCTGATAATTCCGGTCCATCCGATTCATTATCGAATTGATCCATATATAAAAGACTTTGACTATTGGCTAATAATTCCATTTCATTAGTGATTGATAGTAATTCTTTTCCTTCTTCCTTGGAAAAAAATGATTTATCGATATTCGTTTGAATAATTTGTTTCTCATTACAACAACACATACATGGTATCGGTTCTGATTGATTGGTATTTGATTTTTCATTTTTCATTAATCTATATGCTTCTTGTTGTTTGTCGATAGCGTTTTTCTTGATCAATTCATTCAATTCAATCAATAAAGTTGATATTCTATCCAATCCTTGTCCCATTTGATATTCGATTCTATCCATGCGGCTAGAATCATAGAATTTGGTTTTTTAATAAATTTTTTGCATTAAAATTCATTAATGAAAAATTTACCTGAATAATTCTTCTAATTTTAAATCTGTTTTTTGTTGTGAACTGTGGCTATTATGTAGAAAACAAGCATCATCAGTGGAATGGCCAGTGGTGGCAGCGTTCTTCATGATTGAACCATCAGGAACTGGATGACAATTTGGTGGTTTCGGATGATCCAAACTTAAGGCCGATATTTTATTAAGCTCGGTCATATTGACAACTGATTTGAGGTAGTTTTTCTGGAATGGTTTTTGTAGGTTACAACTGTTTGCAATCGATAATGTTCCTTGATTTTTAAAAGTGAAAATTTTTTATGGTGAAGATTTTGAGATTAAAATTTGAAATTCAAAACAATTTATTTACTTTCAAAATTACCAAAAGTCAAATCAGTAACACTATGTTTTAATTGATCAAGCATTCCTTTTGGATTAAATTGGAATTAGATTTTTTTTTCGTTTTATTCATAAAATAATTTTAAAATTTTACCTGTCAATGAATTTCCTTCTTGTTGTTTGGATTTAGCTTTTGGAAAATTATAATTAGCTGGCGTAACATCTAGACCGGCTTTTTCTGGACTAAATTCCAATATGCCGATCCCGGGACCAGTTATACCGGTAAATTTCCGTTGGAATTGTCGTAAACATTCACCAGTTTCATCATAATCACCGGTAATTGGATCAATAACAACTTTACTTGAGAAATCTTCATCAATATCATTGGAATTTTGCATTGAATCAAAACAATTTAAAACTTTACAGTCGGTTACCGTTGCTTTACGATCCAACATACTATTCACACCCAATTGATTCTCATCTCTTAAATTAAAATTTATATTTAAATTTTGATTAAATGACTCGATAAATTCGGGATACATTTCTAATACTTGTAAAAGATCTGAACGAGATATTTTATGCAAATCACAGTATGTCAATGCACGAACATCACATTTTGATTTGCCCATTGTGGGCGTTTGTAATGGATTTTCACCAAAAATGTCATCTTTACCTATGGAAAAATCTTTGAAATTAATTTGAAACTATCAATCCACTAAAACATACCTAATGTTTGAACAACAACATCGTCGATGAGAATTTCAATCGTACCTCTTGCAATGAAATAAAGTGCAACAAGAACATCGCCTTTATGAACTAATGTATCGCCCGGTGGAGCATGTGTAGTTTTGAACTAAATTTTTAAAAGATAAAGAATCCATTTCATTAATCATAAAAAAGTCTCAATAAGATTAACTTACTCGCATGGAAAAAGCTCGTAAACAACCTTGTGAAGCATCTGATAATTATCCAGAAAAAACGATATAAATTGATGACCAATGGTAATGGTGAAGAGTGAATAATATTTACCTTTAAATGCGGCACAATTTTGCAAAAGATTACGATTCAAATGTAAACATATGTCGGCTTGTAAAAATTCGGGAAATCCTTTCAACACCATATTCATATCGATACCATTTGAATATGTCCATGCATGTTGGAAATATTCTTCCAATCGTTTACGTAATGGATTCGGTATCTGATGAAAACGAATGAATTCACGCACACGTAATAGCTGTGTGTGATAACGTGCAGTTCCCGAATAAAGTCTTTGTATGATGGCCGAAACATTACCGAATATGGATGCATACATTAGTGCTACAAATGAATTGAGAATAGATTATTAGTGAAATTATCATTGATCAATGATTAATTTTGATTTTTGTTCATGAAAATCAAAATCAAACAATTACTTACAACCACAAAGCATGACTAGTATACAGAAAATTTTTTCCGTATTTGTTGTTGGTGAAACATTACCAAAACCAACGGATGTTAATGATGAAAATGTAAAATATAATGATGTAATGTAACGTGATTTGATCGAAGGACCACCCGAACCATCTGGATCTATATAAGAGAAAAAAAAAGTTAATAATAATGTCGATTAACCATAATCAATTCAATTGTTAAAATGGGGCACCAATGGTAATAAAAATAATAATAATATTTACTGTAAAATTGATATGTAGCATTAGCTAAATGATCAAGCCAGCCAATTTTACGTTGTAACATTGGACGTTCAGCATTTCCTATTGCATACCTTGGTGAAAAAAAAATTATCATGATTACAAATCATCAATAATTGAATGAATAAACCAATTACCAGATACATGCTAACCAATGTGCAACCTATAGTATTTTTTTGGACGATAAATTATCATTATTATTGGTTAAGTTAATCATTGATATCAAAATGGATTTTTTTTTGTATCATTTCAATTACCAATGCAAAACCGGCAACCAATAATATCAATACGGCTGCACCATATTCAGAATAGCGATCAATTTTCCTAGCCACACGAACTAAACGTAATAATCGTGCTGTTTTGAGCAATCCAATCAATGTTGTTGTCTTTTTTTTGGAATGAATGAAAAAAAACAGGAAAAATTACAAAAAGAACCGGAAATGTAATCCCAAATCATAATATATAATGTTTAGATTTGAATTTACCTCATCGGTTTGTGAGCCAAATAATAAAAGATCGAATGGTATGGCAGCAACCAGATCAATAATGAACCAACCTTTTAGATAATGTATAGCAATTTTACCTGGATGTATAACCAGCTAAATATCAAAATAATGAAAATGTATCAATTATGATTATCACTCAACTATTATCATCATCATCATCATGGTAATTATTATTTGATAACCAAAAATATTACATCTTATCTAAAAAACAAAAGTCTAAGTAATGGGAATTGTGTGTGCGTGTGTGAATTGAATTTAAATGTCAAAAAAAATGGTTGATCATAATGTGACCATTATCTAAATCAGAATTCCGGCTTTCTCTCTTGGAAATTCTAAATTCTAGTCGAGAATATTTTAAATGAAATAAATCAATGAGAGGTTTGAATCATGTTTATCTATTTCGATTCATAAACTACAATCATTTATGTGCGTGTTCCATATTCGTAGTGTTTTTTTTCTGATTGAAATCCGGTATCATAAAATACTAATACATGTGTGTGTGTGTGTATACGGTATGAAACAAGACAATTATTGCGAATCAGTTTAGTAATTTCTCTCTCTCTCTCTCTCTCTCTGTGTCATATATCTTTGTTGTTGTTGTTATTGTCAAATGAAAACCCGTTCATATGGAACTAGAAAACAGAGAGAAAAAAAAAATATTAAAACATTAAGTGAACACAAACACCAAGTGACACACCTAATCGCCGTAACCAGAATGAAATGAAATAAAACGAAATAAAACAACAACAACAACAACGACAACGACAATGTTGGTTAGATTATTGTATAGTTTATGGTTATGGCAATCATTCTGTGGTCGTCTTTTGTATTGTCTAACTATACAACTACCAATGTGGATAGAAAAAAAATGAGGCCGAATTTTTTCGGGTTTTGAATATGAAATTGGACTAATCAGATCGGGTCAGTTAGTTAGAAAAATAAATGTTATTTTCGGAATCGAATCCCGAAAAGGAAAAAAATGTGTGTTGAATATTCTTCAATAATTAATAAGACATTATTTTTTTCCTTTTCTTGACTGATAATTTTTTTTTAAATTTTCAAAACGATTGATTCATGATAATGACAGACAGAAAAAGAGAAAAAAGAATCGGACGTCATCATAGAAATTTGTGATTGGAATTTCAATCAAATTGTCAATCAAACAAAATGTAATCAAATGGATAATGATAATGGTCAGATGAATGGTGGAGTAGTGGTGTGATGACCTATCCATCATCAATTGCCAGAATTGATCATTAGCCATAGACCGAGTAATTAGCTTCAGATTGATTGAATGAATGAATGAATGGACTAATCATAATATGATAATTATTTGGTTTGTAATCGTGATCAACAATGAAACAAACTATCAACATTAAATCGAATGCTTACCTCATCTTTTTTATTAATATATGTTGTACGAAAATTGATTAAAATATCGATGATAAACATAACATCGACAAATAGATCGATGACCATTAATGAATTGGATCCATATGAATCTGAACCGATTGTATGATGATTATCATCTGATTATTAACCATAATAATAATGACAAAATAACAATAAGAAAAAGCATTCAGAGAAAAATAAATGCAACATACGTGAATTGGCAATGTTTTCATTGAGCAAAAATGCGGCTGAATATGGTGTGAAAATGGCCGTATAAATAACAAGAATTAAAATGATCCAATCCCATATTGCTTTGAATGGTGAATAATGTAATACTGTTAGACGTCTATATTTAAAATGTTTGATTGCATCACTTTTTTCATCTTCACTTAATAATGTTCGTGATTCATATTTATAATCCGGTAGATCCGTTCCTAATGATAATACCTTTGTTGATCAAACGAAAATGAAAATGAAAAATTAATTAATGGATTTATTTAGTGTTGGGTGAATCTATTTTTGATATAAAAACATACCTGCGGTATAAGACTAAATCGATGACGGCTTTCTTTATGATATTCTTTGGAATATTCTTTATCCGAACTACGGCGTGAATCACGACGTGAACGTGGTGCTGTAGCACAGCTACGTACTTCACCATTCGAATAAATGGATGAATTTATCGATGATTGTTGTTTAGCCCATTGTTGTTGAAGTTTTTTCTGCAACGATGGCGTGGTGGATGTTGATTCGAATGAATTGTTGTTTGTTGTTGTTGATAGCCATATGTTTTGTGAATTACTGCAGGAATTTGTTGAATGCTGTTGTGGCTGTGTTTGTTGTTGATGATAATTATTGTTGCTCGAATTGTTATTCGATGATGGCAGATCGACCGCTTGTTGTCTTATTATTCGTGGTGTATTATTTGAATTATTTGTCGAACTTGATGTTGGACTAATCTGTGATGATGGTGAAACTTTAATACTGATATCAATATTCGCATTATCCAATGATGATGATTGTTGTTGTTGACGATTCATATGATAATTATGTTGATGATGATGATGTGCTAAACGTTCTTTATATTCATTCTCCACTGAAGAGATTTGTAATGACATTTTTGATGATGACATACATTAAGAAAATTGCGACTATATTAACACTTCTTTAGGCACAATAATTAAGAGCACATTGAATGGATTGATTTCGAATTTGATTCTGGCGGGATTTTCTTGTGAATTATTTCAGTCAGTTGAAATTTGTAAACAACTGACTGAATGGCGATGAAATACTATACTGGAATGATGAAAAAAAAAAAAAAAATAAATGGACATTATTTTATGAACAAAAACAGTTAATTTTCAATTGTTGGTGACAAACACTATGCGCTATGATCACCATCACCACCACCACCAACAACAACAACAACAATCCAAATCATATGACCAAAGAAAATCAGGTCAATTTCCATGGATAAAATGAGATTTTTATAATGATATATGGGTGAATGATGATGATAGTGATTACCACAAATGAAAAACGTTCATATCAAACGGTTATTGTTTTCTGTTAAATTCGAAACAATAATAGCCACAACAAACATAAAAACAATATATGTAAAAATCAAAGACAACTGCATACACAACGGGTTAAACATAAAGGGAATATACATTTTTCGCTGTCTATCTGGTTGATTTAAAATCAACTTTGCAAACATTCATAGAATAATATAAATGTAGATAGAAACGACGATGATAAATAATTAACAATGAATTACCAACGAAACCGACGACTACTACAACAACAACGTTGTCATATCATGTGTCTACTTATAAGTGGATCACAAATGACCCTTTCTTGAAATTCTTTGTGAAAATGGAACAATGATGATGATCCAAAATGATTTGACGAGCAAATTTTTTTTGAGAAAAATTTTTTTTTTCTTTGTCAATTTGTAATGTAGGCGATGTCCGTTCGTCAAATGAAATTATTATCGTTTTTTTGATATTTCTGGTTTTTTCAACCAACAAACAAAACAAAAAGATCTTAGTTGTAGAATGCAACTATCATCGTAATATATGCCGCTATTCACAAAATGAAAACAACAAAAAATTATTGACAAGAGAGAGTTATTAGTGAGCGTAGAAAATCGAAAAAATTGACGACGACGACGACGACGACGAAGAATTTCGTGAAGAAACCAAACGAAAAAAAACCGACCATCAGACCAACAATATACCACCTTCATTATGGACTAGGTGTATACACAAGAAACCAATATAAACTTCAAATATACTTCACCTACCTATCTGATGACTGTCTGTTTGCCACATACACACACATACATTTCTCAACTACAAAGGTTCGATCATGATTTTTTTTTTTGATTTCATTGTTTTCCACTGATCATCATCATCATCATCAATGATAGTCATACGCAGGTTTTCGTTAGAATACCTCAATATCTATCCTATACCTGACTAAATATCCAAAAAGGGAAAGAAAAAAAATCCGTTAATGAAATGGAACCTACACACACACACACACACACACGCACTAATAAAACAATCGTGGCGAAAAAAACCAGGATCGAACCAACAACAAAAGTATTACTATCATGAAAGACTAACCATTTTTATACCAGTTTTCATTCCTCCCCTTTCTCACTATCCAATTCCCTTACTCTTGATTATATGAGACACGAATATCTGTAGTAACGTACACAGACACTAACACCCGTTATTGGTTAACCCGGTTGTCACCAATTCGCCTTGTGATTTAGATTTGGTAAAAAAAAAAAAAAAAAAAAAAAAAGAATGAATAATTTGTTCAATATGTTGCTTGTAGGTTGATGGCATTTTCATTTCTTTCTGGATCATATTACAACACTCATATAAAAAGAGATTTCCAGTTTTATCATTATCAAAATCATTCGAATCATATAGCGTCATCTAATGATGAATGATTCGAATAATTTCTTTTTGTTTTATAATCGATAATAATAATCGATTTGAGAGATAAAAAATGATGGTTCATTTTTGATCCAAATCGATCATCATCACCACTAAATGTCATATGAAAGGAAAGACTAATGAATCATGGGGACACAAAGAATGAAACTTTGGTCCATGGACTCTATTTGGATCAAACAAAATCATTTTTTTAAATGAAAAAAATAACTTTAATTTCAACATAATTTATTTCCGTTTGTAAAAAAAAATTAGTAACCATAGTAATCATCATCATTAAAATAAGTGTTTGTTGGTAAAAAAAATTTTTTGAACATTTTTGTTTTCAGTGCAAATCATACTAAGGTCATTATTCTTTTATCAGTCTCCTTTTTTGGCCCACTTTTTTTCTGTATTTAAATTAATCCATAACGAATCAATTTCGGTGGTTGTCCTCCTCGAATCTCTTTAATTCGTTTACAATGACGAAGACAGATCAATACTTTTCGCAATGTTGAGTCATTTTTCATCGAACTCAACTCTTTGATATCGTTGATGGTGACAAAATAGATGCCTGTGTCGAAAAAGTCGTGGACAATTATTATAGAAAAATAAAGATTAGTCAATTTAGCCTTAATGAATTAATTAATCAATCAAATCAGATGATTAATTGGTGTCACTTTACCTTTTGTATCGGCATTTTCATGTGATTTATATTCTTGATAACGTTTATATTCCGTTTCTTTCGTTGAATGTAAATCAAATTTTCGAATAAACATATATTTGCACATTATCGAATGATTAAATGCATCAACCGATTCATTCAATGTAGAAAGAGTTAATCGACTCAACATATATTTTGGTATTGAATTATATTCTGCTTGGGTTAGATGTTCCATCATTGGAAATGGTGATGAATTTGATGATTTGGTTGTTGCCTTCGATGATGGTTTGGTCGCCAAATGGCCATTCTTTTTATCATTGGTCATCATAATATTCGATTTATTGTTTTTCTTAATCTTTTTCGTATCCATATTTGTATAGGTTACATTTCTTGAAATTGATTTATTATCCACTCGTTTTTCTTCAGCTGAAAAAAGCAAAAACTTTACTGACAAAGTTTTGAATGAAAATTTGAAAAAAAACTTACTCTTTAAAGCCGGTAAATTTGCTTCAATATGGCTGACATGATCTTCCAATAATTGCAATATATCTACACAACGTTTGGATTGTATTTCAAATTCATTTTCAGCTTCGTCCAAACATTGATCGATTGTATGCAATAAAAATTGAAGGCGACCAATGTTTGCATTCATTTCGATACATTCATTTTTATCGTTTTGATAATAGAAATCCAATAATGCCAATTTGGTACTGGAGTTGGAAATTAACTTGTCAAAATATTCAAATAAACCATTTAAATCGGGAGAATCCATAATGATTTGAATTTTGTTTTTTAAAAATATTGCTATTTATATAGTCAAAAAGAATATAACGATTTTTTTCTCACACCTTCAACCGTTCACGAAAAACGTTACACTTTTCGAATATTTTTGATTTCCGTTCATAGATGTCGCACTACTTTATTTATAGAATGTTTATGATTTTTAGCCAAATTCAAAAATTTCGATTTTCGAAATATAAAGAATTGTCTTTTGTAATTTTGTTTTTTTTTTTTGCCATGGTATAATAATTAATCATCATCATCAAACCGACGAATGAAAAGAGATGGTAATTTTTAGATTGCTTTTTTTTAAACAAAGTCAAAAAAAAAAAAAATCTCATAATGATGTGAACCTAGCATGAAATTCATATTCTACTTGCTTAACAACAAAAACAACAACAACAACTAAAATTTGTTGAAAAATAATAATTGAAATATTATCCCTGGCCATCATTTTGAGGCTCGCGTTTAGCTGTTATGCGTGGTGGTGGTGGTGGTTATTTGAGCTAATTAATTAATTTTTTCTTTTCTTTTCTTTTTAGTCGTCGTTGTTGTTGATGCTGTTAATTATGATCATATGTATGATTCACAAAGACCTAGGATAGACAGCAACAAACAAAAAAATAGATTTTTCATTGCGAACCGACAAAGGAAACCTGATCTTTTTGTTTTATATTGATGAAAAATGTGAACTTAATAATTATACTAAACAAAGACCGGATCATAAATCTGACATTTTGATGGACAAGATTTTATGATATATTCTCAACATGCATTTATTTTTTCTATTTCGAACAACAACAAGCTGATAATTGACAAATTCAAAAACATCATCATCATCATCATCGATGTTATCACACGCAATTTTACTATTCCATTCATTCGTCTTGATAGATCGATCGATTAATCAATATCAAGATCAATCCTTTTTTCATGTTGTTGATGTTTTGATAATGATCATATATAAAGTGTTGAAAATTGAATTGAATTGAATGATTTTGATTTCGAAAAAAACGAAAAATCTTGTTCATTCAAATTATCGATTCAATTGATTTGTTAATCGATTGGCTTTTTATAATTTTGCCTAATCATCATCATGATAATAATTATAATGATCATGATGATGATGATTATCAACAACAATAATAACAAGTGGCTATTCGACATCGACCTTGATCTTTGAGGTAAGACAAAATTTGATGATTAATTGAATTTCAAACAGCTATAATCACATCACATTGAATAATAATTATGGAAAAACACGAATATACGATAAACAAGGTAAAAGTAAAACACCTTTTTTTCGGCTGCTGTAAGTTGTCGGCTTTTTTTTGTTTTGTTTTGTTAAAATAATGACCAGAAATTTCTTTTCCTGCAGTTGTTTCATCTGGACAAATTTATGATGATAACGATGTGAATGATGATTATCATTAGCCATCCTATTTATTCGAATAAATATTACCAATTTTTTTTTTTCTTTTATTCTTAATCATCATCATCATCATCATTACTAGTACTATGGTGGATAAGTAGCCTATAATCATCATCAAGATTATCCATTTAAACAACAACAACAACAACATTATTTTTCAGTTTGTTTCGAATACCTAACCAATTATATTTATGATATATTTAACAGTTGGCTAGTAGTTAATATTTACGTTTGTTGTTGTTGTTCATTTTTTTCCATCTCATTATTATAATAATAATATCTATATGTCTAGCTATTCAAGTGTCGACGACAAACATATACTCGTCACAACTATTTAGTTGCTAGTTAGTTTAATCATAATCGGATAGGTAATGTTGTGTAATGTTGTAATTTATTCCAATTTTTTTTCCCCACACATACTCTTGTTTTGTTGGCCTGAAAACAAAACAAAAAAAAATTAATGTCGTATGAAAAACAAAAAAAAAATTATAACATAAACATGGCATAAATTGGCCACCAATTTTACACCACCATCACCACCACCACTGTATACAATGATGATGATCGCAGGCAACACACATTTGCCGTGCGAATCATCATTAGATTTTGCGAATGAAAAAAAAATAGTTGTTGTAGTTATGGTTAAGTTGGCTATATTTATTCCATTCATGATGATGATGATGATGATGATTATGATCGTGGCCATCATTTTCGATGATGATGATGATGATGATAAAGATGAAACTTGAATCATTTAAGAATAAATTTTTCTTTTTCTCTCATTCTAATTCATCTAACTTTGTGTGTGTGTGGTGATGACTTTGGCTCATCGGCCAAAGGTGTCGGCTTTTTCACACACACACACACATAAACAAGAAACGATTTCTTTTCCTCTTCCAGCTAACAATTATGCAAATTTACAATATATATCGTGGGCTATTCCATCTCAAGAATGATGATAATGATGTTTAAAAAATGATGTTTTTCTTGCCTCTCTATTTCTCGATTAACCATCATCATCATCATCATCATCATTCACTTCACTTTACTTGTAAGATTTTCGTTTAAGTTGATGCCACTTTATCATCATCATAGTCATGATGATGATGGTCATGTTAATTCTTCAAAAACAACAACAACAACAACAACTTTAATAGCATAAAAATTCATCTTTTTCTCTCTTTTCTATTATACTATACTTAGTAGTAATACCCAGAATGATTCTAAAAGGGCAGCTGTCAAAAAAATCTAACTGAACTAACTAACTAACTAACTGACTAACTAACAACAACAACAACATAGACAGACAATAAGTATTGTTTATTAGTGTCCAAGTTCAAGTGTCATTAATAATAATGAGAATTAGTTTTTTGTTTTGTTTTTTGTTTTTTAAATGTTAAAACTTGGTTCAGAAAATTGGTATCCAAAAGTAAAAAAAAAATTGCCCACAATTTTTTGAAGAAATAAAATATCACTAATTTTTATCCAGAATGTGTCAAAATGTTTTTTGGTGTGAATCTCATGTAGTAATTTATCCCAAATAATAAAAAAATTATTATTATGCTGGAAAAAACACAAAGAATTTACTCAAATCATTGATCATCATTTACTCAGGCAAACACACACACACACACACACACAGTGAACATGATATCCGTTTCTAAATGCTTTTTTTTCCCAGTTTCATTCATTCAAATGATTACCTTTTTTTATTCACTTTGTTGTCAAAATATTTGAAATCTAATATTACAATTCAAAACAATCGTCATCATCATCTGAACTGAACTGAACTGAACTGAACTGAACCAAAACATTAAAAGTGTTGGCTATAATTATGTTATTATTATCATCATTATAATTGTTTTTGTTGTTGTTGTTGTTGTTGTTGACACTTATCATCATCATCATCATCATTCTGTACGTACACTTTACCATCAAGTGTGTGTGTGTGTGTGTGTGTGTGTGTGTGTGTATACAAATGGCAAATTGTTTCATAAACGTTCGTTTTATCTAATTGACTTTTTTTTTGAATATTTTGTTCTTTCTTTTTTAAATGATTGTGTATTGTATTTCTAAACGTTTTTTTTCATTTTTATATCCGACAGACACACAATAATGATGATGATGATGATGATGATAAAGACGATTAAGCATAAAGAATATAAATATTTTTTTTCTGGAAAAAAAATTGACAAATGCTAAATGATGATTGTTATTTTGTTACACAAACTAAAGTGAAAAGAAATTCCTTTCCAAATGTTCATGATGAACTTAAAACACACAAACACACACACACACTGGTTTTAAAAATTTTGTCTTGCCCCCATATATATAATATAATTAAATTCAATTCATTAAATGGTGGATAATTTATATGAATTTATTATTCAATCCATTGAGATTAACAAAAAGAAATGGTAAAGAAAAAACACATTGATATTACAAATTTTTCTATTTTGAATATATATATATATATATGTTGAAAATAGTGGAACCGGAATCATTGTTGGTTGGTTATTTATTTGATTTCTTCCAGTTTCACCATTGTCAAATAATTCATTGTATCATTCTATAATCTAATACCACACTAATTTTTTTTTTTGAGGGGTGGATTGATTTGATGAAAAATAATAATAATGATGATGAATTGAATAAATATAGTTTCTTTTGGGTTGGGGGCAAAAAAAAAAAGATTATCATTTATGGCCCATAGTTGAAATGCCAACCAATCAAAGTCTAAAATATATCTCTCTTTTTGTGTGCATGCTTTAAGTGTCTATTGTTTAGGATGAGAAAAAAAAATCATTGTGAAAAAAAATGTCGGTATTCTGTATACAATTGCCAAACAATAACAAAAAAAGAAAAAAAATGAAGCAAAAAACTATTTCAAATTCAATTTTTTTTTTCAAAGGCATTCAATTTCATTTTAATGTCTAATATATCAAATTAGTAGGGAAATTTTTTTTTCGGGTAGAAAATTATAACTCTCCATATGTGATTTGAGTATCCGGTTTTTTTTCAGTATAATATTCAGTTCAATGTTAAAATTTGATGATTGGTCGTTTTTGTTGTTGTTTTTGTTGTTGTTGTATATATAGGGTTTACTATTGTCATTTTTTTTTACAGTGCTGATGCAGTTGCTGTAGCCGTTGTAGGCGTTGTTGGATTTGTCAATGTATGAAGATGGTGATGTTGTTGTTGTTGTTGATGTAAATGTTGAGCATGTTGATGATGTAATGCAGCAACTAATTCTGGTTTTTTCAATAGATTTAAATCTGTTATATTCTCCAATATGCTTGTCGGCACACCATTCAATTTGGCTGCATCGACATCTTTTTTTAATTCTTCAACATCTCGTTTTAATTTTGCCCGTCTATTCTGGAACCTTTTTTTGCCATATAAATAGATTTAGTGAATAAAAATGAAAAATTTTTTGAAAAACCAAAAATGAATTATATACTAACCATGTAATCACTTGTGCATTGGTCAAACCCAATGATTGGGCAATCTCATCACGATCAGCTGGTGATAGATATTTTTGATAAAGAAAACGTTTTTCCAATTCAAATATCTGATGATTAGTGAATGCTGTACGTGATTTTCTTTTCTTTTTAATCTGCGTATTACGATTATTGAATAGATTTAGATGGTCCGCCGTAGGATCTGTTTGTGTTTGTTTCGATTGATTCGATTCGATTCGATTTGATTCGAATGATTGAATGAATGAATAAAGAGAGAGAGAGAGAGAGAGAGAGAGAAAAACAATAGAATTAAATTATCATCATCATTTTTAGTTGTAGTAGTTCAATGTGGTTAAATAATCGGAGGAAAAAAAATGATGAATGAATGTTTATCACACTGTTGAATGACAATTGATTTATTTTTTTTTTACATTTGATTGTGTTCAATTGTCGACAGCTATTTAATTTAATTTAATTTAATTTAATTTTAGCCATTTCATTTCATCAATTATCTTGGGATAAAACTTTTTTTGTTGTTGTTGTCAATTTCCTTTGTTTCCACCTGTCATCATTATTTTTGGCATTATAATAGGATGACGAAAAGAAAAAGGCCGTGAAAATGATTTTTTTCTCTCTGCGTGCGTCTTTTTTTTTCTTTTTGCTTGATAGATCAGATTTGATGATCAGCATTTAGATTTTCTTGCCAACAACAAAATGAAATAAAAACATTGTGTTTCACATTTGATTGATTTCTATTTCGATATTTAAGGTGATCTCCAGACACACATCCAATCAACGTCAAATGTCAGATTGATAGTGTGTTATCAATTGATATTGATCATTGATATCTGGTTGTCTAGTTGTTGTTGTTGTTGTTGTTGTCTGTGTTGACAAATTATTAGAAATTTTTTTTTTTTTTTGTAAAACTTTTTAAATCATTTGTCATACAAAATGAACTGAAATAATGAATATAATTGGTTTTCATGCTTTTTATTCATTTCATTTCATCATCATCATCATAATTATTTACAATAGATAATAGTGGTTAATAATGATTGTTGTTTGGCTGGCTGGTGTTGGTGTCATTAGATTGATAGAAAAGAAATAAACCCGATTGATCAACCAATTTCAGTCACCAAGAAAAAAAAACCCATCATTATTGAATTCTAATGGTTTTTGTGTGTCTGTCATTGTTATTTGTAACAATGAGATTCTGTTGATTGTTAGATGGACTAATTAGTTGAGTTAGTGAGCTAGCATCATCATTATCATTGTTTGTTTGAGATTTTTTTTCTTCGTTTCATTTATTTCCACTGATAATAAATGTGTTTTTCATTATTATTATTTTTTTTTGCTATAAAAATCAATTTTAATTTTAATGTAATTTAACAGAGATTGATTTATTCTGATTGATTGATTTTTTTTTGTGTATTACGTTCGTTCAGATAGTTATACCGGCAAGCAGCGTGTTGATATAAAATTGGTTGACCATTTCATTTGAAATTAATTAAAGTGATTTTTTTTCTGCTAATACTATTGATATATAACATCATCACTACCAGAAAACCAGAATATAAAAGTTTTTATTTTCTTCTGGACTGCATGGTGATGGTCGGTCGTATGTTGTGTGTTAATGAGAAAAAAAAAGATAAATAAGATTTATCTATTGTTTGGCAATCTCATTATTATTATTATTACCAAGGGCTAAATGGCCTTTATTTATTAAAAATCAACGAAAAACTATAATAAATCTGTGTGTGTGTGTGTGTGTGCGCGCAAAAAAACACGTTGATTGATACAAATGTGATCTTTTTCCTGTCTGTTGTCCATTGTAGTGTTGTTATTTGCTTACACATTATTTTTTTTTGGCTAAATTTTACGGACAAGGTTACGTTCGTATATTTAATTAAAAATGCCGCGTTCAACATCTTCATGTGGATGATTTCTTTTGCATTATGAAGACGGATGAACAAATCATCATTCTTCATCGTTAAATCTTATTCAAATAACACACACACACACACACACACACACATGACTTGATGATAGGTGTTATTTCCGACATTTCATACAGCTATTGTTTCGGTTGTTTTTTGTTTTGTTTTTGTTTTGAATAATCAATTTTGATTCAGCTTGTCAATGACGGTGATGATGATCATGTTCTGAGAACCTGTCGGAAATGCGCATATAAATTATGAAATGTGACGAACATTTGAGAATTTTCAAGCCAAAAAAAAAATCAATATCGATCTTGATATTTATTTCTTGAAGCAATTGAATTAAATTAGCTTGAAAATCCTTGAAAAACTATTAACTTATATAATCCATATCTTTCTTTCTCTCTAGCTGTCATCATTAAGATGTTATCAAAATATAAAACTGGATTATATTTGAAGGGATTATCATCATCATCATCGATATGGCTACCGGAATCCGGTATTAAATTTGATCATCATTCGTTTGATTGGATTGTAAATGTGTGTGTTTGTGTTAATAATATAATAAATTCATTTCATTACATTTCTCAAATTTTCAATGATTTTTTTCTATCAATTGCTCAAAGCCAAAAACTTTGAAGGAAAAAAAAAAAAAAACGAATCGCCTTTAGCCATTCATGTTAAATTAGTTTCTAATTAGTAAATAGTTTTTTTTCTCGTGTTTTTGTTTCGATTAAACATCGGCTTCGTTTCAAAAAAAAAGAAAAATTATTATGTAGAGAAAGAAAGCCGCCGATCATCATCATCATCATCGTTGATTTTTTTATTCGCCAACAAGCCCGCGGTATGAATGGTCAAATGGACACCGAATTTATTATGGATAGAATATATATATATAGAAAGAGAGATAGATGGATAAAAAACACATCAAAATCATTTTTTTCGATAATCATCATCATCATCATTATTTTATCACACCGAATTAATCACGATACTAATTACACTGAGATAAGTTAATGGTTGCTAGTTAATAGTTAATATCAATTGGCTTGATGGAATCATTCATTCATGGTATAGGTCATTTATTTTTTTTTTCCTTGCAAACACTTATTGCTATCCATCTTTAATATATGAATATTATTATGAACAACAACAACAACAACAACAACAGAAACAGCAACAAGCAGTTAATTAACACTATTTTAGACAAGTTAGCTGTTCTCTCAAAATTTATCTTCAATTGAAAATTTTCGTGAATCCAATCATTCATTTATGGATTGCCCCTGATCGCTCTCTCTCTCTCTCTCTCTTTAATGATAATCAAGTTGTAAAAAAATCTTAATCATTAAGAATCATCATCATCAAATGATCATCATTTGTTTTACTAATGTTAATCATCATTAACTATTAGTGCGTCTAAATGTCGGTCATCATCAATAAATTGGATTCGGATTCGAATTCTGTCAGTTTTTTTTTCATTCGGTGATGTCGTTTTGGTTATCTTTTAATTTTTTTTGGTAAAAATTACAAAAAATCTAATGAAGATTTTTCTCTTTCTTAATTAACTTTTTTTTTATTTTAGTTTTGTGTGTGTATAAATGTGTGACGGTGTAAGTCTTGTAATGATGAAATTGAAAATGAAAGAATTATTTGATTCTAAATTCATGATGGATCCATTTCGGTAGCCAGAACAAGAAAATTTTTTTTGTTGCTGTTTGCTGTCTAATACACTGCAGGCTTCAGGTTTTAACCAGCAGAAACCAATTATGACAAGCATCTTAATGTGATGTGCTTGTCAGTCAATCATTCATTCATTTATTCATTGATCTTGTTGTTGTTTTTATAATCATAAATAAAATTTCTAGCTAAACTAAATTATTAATATAATTGAGATACACAGAGAAAAAAAATTCTGGTTTTTTCGAAAGAATATATCACACACACACACACATGAAATTCAACATGGTAAACAGATTTTGACAACACAAAACAAAGCTACGCGGGGATACCAGTTTTAGTGTGATTGAAGTGATGATTTGAAACACTTTATGTTTGTATTTGGCTCACTCTGGCAATCAAATAGATTAATTTTCATTTTCATTTCACCTCATTTTTTTCAGTATAAACATTCATCGATGGAATGTATGATAACAAGATCAATATACTAACGTCTATTTAATAATAAACGATCTTGGAGATCACAGCTTGATCTAGCTTTGTTTTTCTCCCAATTCATGATGATGATGTGAGTTGTTGTCCAATTCTTAACATTTGATTTTTGATTACCATTCATTGTTTGATATCCAACATGGTTTCGATCATTACTTTTACCCGAATAACGATGATGACGATGATGATCTATTTATATTAACAGCAATGAATTTGAATTTTTCAATTTGTGATCATTTTTATTTACTCGATTTGTTTGTGATGATTTTGTTTACTTATCAAATCAAATCAAATACACTTTTCATTCGTATAACAAACTAACAGATGAAATGATTGATAATTAATTTCCATCATCATCATCATCATCATTCATTTATAAATAGAAAATTCATTTCAATTTTGACAGAGAAATGTCGACAATGCATAATTTCAATTTTAGATTGTTGTCATCATCATTATCATTGTATATGATGATCATGTTACAACAAAATGATCTATCTATCGTGTATCGGTAGTTGTTTTGTTTTGACGTTGATTATAATAACCGAAACAAGCCTAATTAATATTTTTTCCGTATCAACATCAACATTCGATTAATTTGAAAGAAAGAAAGAAAGAAAGAATGGAATAAAGATTCTACAATTACACATGCACACATACTATAAATATCACATATTCCTGCTTGAAGAATTGTTCAGGCATGCATGTCATAGCAAAGCAAACAAATCCCAATTTTTGGCTATTTATTTTTGTTTTGTTTTTTTCTTGTTTGATTCTTGACATAAAAGTGGCTTTCATTTTTTTTTTTGCCTTACAGTGATTAATTACGATCCAAAAAAAATAACGATTACATTCAATAATAACAAGGATCACGATTTCCCGGTATTCATCAACAGAAAATTTTGCCATATCGAATGTGTTGTGTGTGTGTTTTTTACTCATTCAAATATTTGTAAAGAATGACAAAAAAAAATTGTCAAATGAATCGAATTGAATTGAATCAAATGGGCAATCATAGGAAATAATAATGAAGGGAATGATGATTTGATTTTTGATGATTGCTTAAACACGTGGAATGTCGAACACATTTATTGTT